TATTAGCAGGTGAAATGGGTAAACAAAATGTGCTGTATCCATCCATACCATGGAATATTATTCAGCCACAAAAAAGGAATGAAGTCCTGATTTATGCTACAACATGGATGGACCTCAAAAATATTGTTCTTAGTGCAAGAAGCTGGTTACAAAAGTCACATATTGTATAATCCCATTTTTAAGAAATTTCCAGAATAGGCAAATCCATCCATAGAAACGGAAGCAGATTAGTGGTTCCAGGGGCTCAGAGTGGGGAGAACACGATTGACTGCTAGTGAGTATGGGGTTTAATTAGAGGGTAATGAAAATGGCCTAAAATTAGATCATGGTGATGGTTGTACAATTCTGTGAATACACTGAAAACCACAGAATTGTGTACTTTGAATGTGTGAACTTTATGGTATGTGAATTACATCTCAATAAAGCTGTTTAAAAAGTAACAATGTTTGACATTTATCAAGTGGTTAGCTCTGGGCCAGGCAATATGCTGAGCTTTTTACACCAATGGTTTCATTCCCAGCCAGAAAATCACTGTGAGAAAAGAAGGGGACTTTCAAGTCTTTATTTTGCAGGTGGGGAGAATGAGATCAGAGAGGTCAAGTTCATGGCCACACAGTGAAGAGGTGGGCAGACCCCAGAGGCCTGGCATTCGAGGCCCCACCAGATATGGCCCTTGTCCCACCCCCAACCTCCCCTCCTGTGCCTTGCTCCTTCCTTAACCTAAGCCAAGTTCAAGGCCAACTGAACTGACTTCAGTTTCTTCAACATATATATTCTTTCCAGGCTCCAGAGCTTTGCACATGCTGGTCAAATCCCTCAGCCTGGGTGTTCTTTCTCTTTCTCTCCCCACTTAGCCTCTGAAATGAATGTCTAAGTATGAAGGGTCCAGAGAGTGACAGAGAAAGAGAGAGAGAGAGAGAGAGAGAGAGAGAGAGAAAATGAGAGAGGAAGTGTTGATTGCAGGGTTCCAAATCTAGGGCTGGGAGGTAAGGGGTGCCAAGGGGCACCAAGAGGGGCTGCTTGTGGGAAGTGATTAGGTCTCTGCCTTCTCTACCTCCCAAGGGAGGGCTTGGCCACCAGCCACCTCCACAGTGTTTGGAGCCACCTCTCTTCCTTGGCCTGGGTTTCACCCAAGCTATACTTCATGCCACTCGCAGGTGGGTGAAGTCAGATTTTCCCTGGAGAATTCGCAAGGCCTGGGGGTGAACAGGTGGTAGGAGAGAGGTGCGGCCCTGCCCCAGTGCCACCCAGAACCTTGAGACAAGGTGATCCTCTGCCACCATGCTGCCTTCTCTTCCCAACTCAAATTCTCTTCCCAGAGTCTTTTAGAACGTCTAATAAAAAGTATACAAGTACCATCAAATATTATTCAGCCATTTAAAAAAAAAAATGAAGTCCTGGCCTGTAATGCTGTAATCCTAGCACTCTGGGAGGCCAAGGCAGAAGGGTCACTTGAGGTCTGGAGTTTGAGACCAGCCTGAGCAAGAGCAAGACCCCATCTCTACCAAAAATAGAAAAAATTAGCTGGGTGTGGTACCCAGCACCTGCAGTCCCAGCTATTCAGGAGGCCAAGGCAGAAAAATCGCTGGAGCCCAGGAGTTTGGGCTTGCTATGAGCTATGATGACACCACTGTACTCCAGCCCTGGTGACAGAGTGAGACCCTGTCTCAAAAACGAACAAACAAACAAAAGTGAAGTCCTGAATCATGCTAGAACATGGAAGAATGTCAGAAACATGACTCGGAGTGAGAGAAACCAGACACAAAATGTCGCATGGTGTATGATTCCCTTTATAGGAGATGTCCAGCATAGGTGAATCTGCAGAGACAGGGCACAGATTGGTGGTCACCTGGGGCCAGGTGAGGGGAAATGGGAAACAGCTGCTTAATGGGTATGGGGGATTTTGGGGAGTGATGAAAATATTTTAGAACTAAATGGTGATTGCACGCATGGTAGATGTACTGAATGCCACTGAATTGTCCCTTGAAAGTGGTTAATTTTATATTGTGGGAACAGCACCACAATTTGAAAAATAAAATAGAGGCTGGAGTGCAGTGGCATGATCATAGCTCACTGCAGCCTCGAACTCCTGGGCTCAAGTGATCCTCCTGCCTCAGCCTCCCAAGTAGCTGGGATCACAGACACGTACCACCATGCCTGGCTAATTTTTAATTTTTTTTTGTAGAGATGGGGTCTCCTTACGTTGCCCAGGCTGGTCTCCAACCCCTGGCTTCAAGTGATCCTCGTACCTTGGCCTCCCAAAGTGCTAGGATTACAGGCATGAGCCACCGAGCCTGGCCCCTATAGGAAAATGGTACATAGAGACCAAGATCCAGTTGCTCGGGGTAATCATCATTATTGGGGTGTCATTGCTTCCGGGCCCTCAGAAAACACAGCCCAGTGTGTGCATGCTAACTCATGTGTATACACATATCCATATTTATTTTCTTATCTATTAAAATAAACATGAGTTCACACTGATAACCCCAGTTTAACGCCACACTCCTTATTTGTAACTTCGTTCTCCGACAGTGTGAGCCTTGGCCGCGCAGATCTACAACATATGTATTTATTTGTTCAGCTCTGGCAGGAACTAGTTTCAGAATCGTTATCGCGTACTCACACAAGACACAAATGGACTGGCTGGACTGCCTGTTTCTGTGCAGCTCATGCAGCTGCTGGAAGCAGAAACTCATAGAGCTGAACAAACAAGCCCTGTGGGAGTGCGCTGGAGTTGGCCCCCAGGCCTCCAGTTTGAGATGCCCCCAACCCTGACTGCTCTGCCGTCTGGGCGTGGGACCGTCAATTCACACCTCCCCAGGGCCATGGTTTAAGTCCCAGGACTGTGCAAAGTAGGGTGGGAAGGGTGGGAATGAATGGTAAGCCCTGCGGTAGGCCCCTGACTCTTTGAATGGGTCTGGGGGTCGGAGGGGACCACGGGAGGCATTTTCCCCTCTTGGAGGGGCAGAGCTGGCTCAGCGAGAGTGGGCACCTGGCAGGGCGGCCCCTGTGGGCAAGAGCCCTGGCAAGAGAACCGGCCGGGCAGGTGCGCCAGCCCAGGCATGCTTCAGGCGGGCGGGCTTTTGCAGGCTGCGGCAGGAGCGCAGAGCGCAGGGGTGCCCTGCACCTGGGAAGGGACCTGGCTTTGCCTGGGTGGGGGGCTCAGGGTGGTGCTGGGCTTGGGGTGGTGGCAATGCAGCCTGACCTGAGAGTGCCCTCCTAATTCCTTCTCGGGGATACAGTGGTGGGCCAGTAGTACCTGCACTAACATTGATTGAGCTCTCACTGTATGCCCTGGCTCTTCTAAACCGCTCTCTTCACCCTCAACAACAGCCCTGCGATTGGGTGCGGTTGTGACCTCCATTTTGGTGAGGAGGCCCCTAAGGCTCAGAGGGAGTGTCACTTGCCCAGGGTCCTAGACCACAAAGTAGCTCAGCCTGGCTCTAGACTCTGAGCCCTTAACCTTTACTCATCTGGGCAGACGGACAGACAGAGGACACATGACAGGCCAGATGAATAAATAAACAAACAAGGTGATTTCAGAGGATGCCAACAGCCATTGGAGATTGGGAAGGAAGAGGACAGATCTGGGAAGGCCTCTCTGAGGAAGTGACTGGCTGGGAAGGGTTGGAGGAAGGGAGCTCCAGGCAAGTTCAAAGGCAAAGTGGATAAGGAACAAGGAGCAGCCCTGTGGGGCCAGAGCAGAGTGGGGCTGGGGGACGGCACCAGTAAGGAAGGGAGACAAATGTGCAGGGCTTGGGGGCCAAACTAAGGACTTAAGCTCAGGACATAGGGAGCCATGGGAGATTTTAGAGCAGTGGAGGGTCAGGATCTGAGTTTGTTTGTTTTGTTTTGTTTTGAGGCAGGGTCTCCCTCTGTTGCCCAGGCTATCGTGCAGTGGCATCACCATAGGTCACACCAACCTCAAGCTCCTGGGCTCAAGAGATCCTCCTGCCTCAGCCTTCCAAGTAGCTGGGACTACAGGCATGCACCACCATGCCCGGCTAATTTTTTCTATATATTTTTAGTTGGCCAATTAATTTCTATCTATTTTTTAGTAGAGACAGGGTCTTGCTCTTGCTCAGGCTGCGATCTGAGTTTTAAGAACTGTGGCCACAAGTGTGGAGTGGCAGTTAGGGAAGGAAGCACAGAATCGTCCAGGGGACCGGAGCCTGAGTCCCCAGGGTCGTGTGTGGGAAAGAAGCGCAGGGAGGCAGGAGGAGAGGCGGGGTGCTGGGCTCGGAACCCGTGGCAACCGGAAGAGCCCCATTTTGGGGAGGTGAGATTGCCGCCTGGGAGGTGCGAAGCGGCCACCTCGCTCCCCACCCTGGAGTGCGGTTTCCCTTCGCAGAAGGTCATTTATCAAGCGCCTGCTGGGTGCCAGCTGCAGCCCCGCAGTGTTGGGGGACTTTCAGGGCTCATCCCAAAGGCCCGGTGGGAGGCTTGGTCTGCCGGGCTTTGGGGAACCCGGGACCAAAGGGTTAACGCTCCTCCCGCCCCCGCCGCGCGTGTCTTTGATTGGTCGGAGCCAGCAGGAGCGGTTCTGCCCATCCCGGGAACCGTGGGGGCGAGAGCGGGGATCTCCAAGGGGCCACATGGGGGTGTGACCGCGCCTGGCTGCCCCTCCTCCACCCAACCCCAATCACTCCCATCCCCAGTTCCTGGATCACCTCTCCCGGGGAGCTCTCACCCCCACGCAGCCCGCAGGGCCTGGAGCGCAGGGGCAAAGGGCATGGTCCCCGTGCAGGTCACAGCGGCAAGGCCGGCGCCCCTTCCCGGCTGTCACTGCTGGTCTGAGGCTGGGGGAACTGGGCCTGGCCTAGGAGTTCCTGGGAACTGGGGGTGGCGGGGTGCGGGGCCAGCTGGGACAGCCAGTCGGGGGAGCAGCGGCCTGGGAGAGGCGTGGGAGAGCGACCCAGACAGCGATGGAGATGACACACACAGAGACAGGGAGAAAACACAGACAAGAGACTCCGAGAGACCCGAGGAGAGAGACAGAGAGGAAGCGAGGCCAGACACTCATTCGTTCATTCATTCACTCACTCCAAAGACGCTTGGCGGGCCCTGGCTGCGTCCCCGCACTTGCCCACGACAGCCTGCAATCCCTACCCCGCTGGGGTGACAGGCGGCTGAGGACACAGCCCAGAAACACGAGAAATGAGTAAATCACATTGTCGGGACAGATAAGGGCGGGAGAGACCGCCAGGGGCCCGCACCGGACGGACCCTCGTTATCTGAGGAGGGGGAACCTCACCACGCTCCGCCTGCGCCCACCCCTCCCCCACTGCGCAGCCCAGCCGGGGGTGGGAGCAGGAAATGGGGAGGGACCTGGGCCCGGCCCGCAGGGATCTATCTGCGGGGAGGGGGGGACACAGGCTCCGCCCGCCGGTACTGAGGATCCCTCCCAGTCCCCGCGCTGCCCTGGTCGCTCCGTCGACGGGGCGTCCTTAGGGTTCGGTTAGAGGCTCGGTTGGCAGGTAGGTGGGACATGGGGAGGGCCTAGTCCCTTGGCACCCGGGGACAGACGAGACTCCTGAGCTGCAGGGAAGGGGCTCTGGCTGCGGCCGCCCCTGCTGGAGATCCCTCCCCTTTTCCGCCTCTCGGAGTCCTCCCAGCGCGACGGAGCGTCCCTGGGAAGCCTCGCCGGTGCCAGTCGCCGCCGGGGCGTGCTCCGGTGCCGCGGCGGGTGGCACAGGCTGGCAGCCACGGGCTGAGTGCCCGGCCCCTAAGGGGGGGGCCTGCCAGCTCCAGACCCGCTCTCAGAGCAGCGGCCGCTCACTTGGCTCCAAGCAGCGGGACTGCAGGGGACGCACGACCAGGGCGTGTTGGTGAGTGTATAGTGCTGGGCCCTTGGGGGCTCGGGCTCGGTGTGGCCCGGAGGGGGTCACCCTTGGCGGCGGGTCTCTGGGTCTGGAAAGGGCACCGCCCCTTGCAGGGGTTCCCAGTCCTTTCCCGGAGGCCTCTGGGGAGGGGGGAGGCGACTTCCCAGCTGGGTGTGTGCCTGAGGTGGGTGCGGAAGCGCCTGGAATCCCCGGGTCTCGCCCCCTCCTGGCGGTGCCATTGCGAGTTCCCACGCTTCAGTCCTGCTGGCAGGCTAGCCGGTCCGGTGGCGACCCCACCATAGCATGTGTAACCGTGTCCCCGTGTAATTGGGTCCCAACCAGCGCCCCAGCGTGGCTGAGCCAGTGATTTCCTGCCCGTCTGCTCTCATGCGTGGCTCTCTGTGTGTGACTGGAGCCGCCTGGGATGCATTGGCCCTTTCTGTGTGCAAAAAAGTTCCATTCCCTCCCCAAGCCTTGGTTTTCTCATCTGTTAAGTGGGACACACATGAGTCTGTGACCCTCTCTGCTTGGCTGTGTTTGTGTGGGAATGTGAAAATCATTGTGTCTGCTTACATGGGTAAGGATTTCTTTTGAGCCTCAGTTTCCCCATCTGTAAATTGGGACTAAAGGGAGAGCTGTCCAGGGGATTTAAGGGAGCAGTCACAGGTGCAAAGTGTGATACTCTGACAGGTGTGCCCTCCTGCGAGAACCTGCCGGTGCGGATGGATCCCGCGCGCTGGCCTGGGCTCTGCGTCTGCGCCGCGGTGGCTAGGCTCGGCTTCCCGCGGGGGTTCTGGGTGGATGAGGGGGTTTGGGCAGGAAAAGCCTTGCGTGCAGCCAGGCCATGGCGTGGAGTGCGGTGCTCTGAGCCTCTCGCTGGTGTGAAGTACGGAGGTTGTGAAATTGTCACCTGTAGACTGGTGTGAGACCCTATCTGTGTGCGACTGAATTTCTGTCCCCGCCTTTCGCTGCCCGTGTGGGTCTGTCCCATGTATGAACGTAGTTTCGTGTTTCACCGATGGTGTGTGACTGTGTTATTCTTTTGCCCTTGTCCACGTGTCACTGTATTTGCGTGTCCTTTTCCTGTGTGTGGCTGTGCGTGTCTGTCACCGTGGACACCCCCTGTCTATCCTGAACTCCCCGGGCCCCCTGTGTGTGAGTGGGGTGATGGGCAGGGCTTAGGGACCTTGCCCACGGGCCTGGCACTGTCTCCTGCCTCTCCACAGCCTTGGGGCGCGCAGCCCATGGAGTCGGGGCTGCTGCGACCCGCGCCGGTGAGCGAGGTCATCGTCCTGCATTACAACTACACCGGCAAGCTCCGCGGGGCCCGCTACCAGCCTGGCGCGGGCCTGCGCGCCGACGCCGCCGTGTGCCTGGCGGTGTGCGCGTTCATCGTGCTCGAGAACTCGGCCGTGCTGTTGGTGCTCGGGCGCCACCCGCGCTTCCACGCGCCCATGTTCCTGCTCCTGGGCAGCCTGACGCTGTCGGATTTGCTGGCTGGAGCCGCCTACGCCGCCAACATCCTGCTGTCGGGGCCGCTCACGCTGCGACTGTCGCCCGCGCTCTGGTTCGCGCGGGAGGGAGGCGTCTTCGTGGCGCTCGCCGCGTCCGTGCTGAGCCTCCTCGCCATCGCGCTGGAGCGTCGCCTCACCATGGCGCGCCGGGGACCCGCGCCCGCCGCCAGTCGGGGGCGCACGCTGGCGCTGGCGGCTGCCGCCTGGGCAGTGTCGCTGCTCCTTGGGCTGCTGCCGGCGCTTGGCTGGAATTGCCTGGGTCGTCTGGACGCTTGCTCCACGGTCCTGCCGCTCTACGCCAAGGCCTACGTGCTCTTCTGCGTGCTCGCCTTCGTGGGCATCCTGGCCGCCATCTGTGCCCTCTACGCGCGCATCTATTGCCAGGTGCGCGCCAACGCGCAGCGTCTGCGGGCGCGACCGCGGACCGGCGGGGGCACTGCCACCCGGGCGCGCCGCACACCACGCTCGCTGGCGCTGCTGCGCACGCTCAGCGTCGTGCTCGTGGCCTTTGTGGCGTGCTGGGGCCCTCTCTTCCTGCTGCTGTTGCTCGACGTGGCGTGCCCTGCGCGCGCCTGTCCCGTGCTCCTGCAAGCCGACCCCTTCCTGGGCCTGGCCATGGCCAACTCGCTTCTGAACCCCATCATCTACACGCTCACCAACCGCGACCTGCGCCAAGCGCTCCTGCGCCTCCTCTGCTGCGGCCGCCACCCCTGCTGCCGAGGCCGGGCTGGCTCCCCGCGGTCCGGGAGCACGGCGGGGGCTTCGGGTGGCCTGCGCCACTGCCTGCCCCCGGGTCTGGACGGCAGCTCAGAGCGCTCGTCACCCCAGCGCGAAGAGCTGGACACCAGCGGCTCCACGGGTAGCCCCGGCGCGCCCAAGGCCGCCCCGACACTGGTACCCGAACCGGTGGCAGACTGATGCCTTCGCCCATCTTTGTCTTCCCCGAGAGTCTTGCAGACGTTTGCTTTATAAAGGAAACTGTGGGAAACACAGCCGAAGACGGTGGAGGCGGAAAAGACGCAGGGGAAATGTATTTATGGACGCTAAACCCCACAACAGTGAACAGAAAAAAAATCCTTGCTTTCGTGGAATTGACGTTCTAGTGGGGAATTTAGACAATAACGGAGTGACAAAATAATGGAGATAATTCCAGTGACAATACAGAGATGTGATGGTGGCCAGGGGAGGCCTCCCTGAAGAGGTGGTGACTTGTGATATGAGTGGAGATCTCCTTGTCCCTGGAACACCTAAAGGAAAAGCATTTCGGCATGAGGGAATGGCAAGTGCAAAGGCCCTGAGGTTGGAACGTGCCCGCGTGTTCTGGGAAGAGCAAGGATGCCAGTGCAGCTGCAGCAGCTATGTAGTGGAAGGTGACGAAAGGAGGCAGATGAAGGGGCAGATCGTGCAGGGAGGACTTTGCTTTTGTTTGGAGTGAGGTGGGAGCCATCCAGGGTTCTAAGGAGAGGAGGGACTTGCCCTGGTTCAAGCATCCGCAGGTGCCTTGTGGCTTTTGTGGAGGACAAGGGTGGAAGCAGGTGAACAGGGGCTACACTGGAGCAATGACAGCGACTCTGATCGCTCAGACCACGTGGACTTTGTTCTTTTTTTTTTTTTTTCTCCTCCTCCTCCACCCCCACCACGTGGACTTTGAATAGATTCTGGAGGCAGCGGAGGAATTGGGCGTGACAGTAAGCTGTCAAGGACAACACCAAAGGCAGGGCACCTCAAAATTTGACTCTGGGAGACTCAGCCAAATCCTGACAATAAAATTTCTTTGAGTGTGTTGTCGGGTCATAAGAATAAAAATATAATAAAATAATAAGAGCGATTATTTCCCATGCCTGGCCGGTTTCCTCCACCGCGCTAGGACACACCTACTTTTCAGCCTTATTGCAACCTTGCAAGGTAGGTTTCTTCAACCCCACTTGACAGATGAGCAAACAAACTACAAACAATGAATGCCTGGCTCCAGTGTCAGGGCCAGGCTTCAGGTCCCCAGGCAGGAGGAGACACCAGCATCTGGCCCCTCCGGAGTCTGGAGAGACCAGGCCCACACTGCCTCCCGCGGGGGTCTGCATTCTTGGCGGGGGGCAATACCAGGACGCAGTTTGTGCCCATAAAAGGCTCCTGGGCGCGCTGGCCTCGGGTCCCCAAGTCCCCAGGCGCATTCCAGACCCCTGCAAGGAGGGCTGGTCACCGAGCTGAGCGGGGAGGGGGCGTCTGGTGTAGAAACGCCGCGCCACCTTCCGGGAGACCTTGGAACTGCAGGCATCCGGGAAAACAGCGGTTTTTTGGGGATCGCTGCTGACCCAGCCTGGGGACCTAAGTCTCCACGTGCTAAGCTCACACTGCCACTGCAGCCACATGCACGAGAAACCAACCCATTTCCAAGAACACAGACACACGCGAGCCTGGGGTCGCGGTCCCAGGTCGTTCCCAGGACTGAATCCAATTCCCTGCTGTGCGCGATGCCCGTACCCACGCGCAGGCTGGGCTACCTTGCAGCCTCCTCAGACATCCCACTCCATTTTTCGGTGGTTTGGTGGTGTGGTGGTAGAGGAATTATGGATTTTCTACAAAATTCAAAAAGCACCCAGTTCCCCTTCTGGGGCGTAATCACTGGGATTCCTGGGGAACTTCCAGAGCTATTCTGTGGGTTCATGAGTCGATATATAAATACATCATCTCCTGTCTTTTTATACAAATTTAGCACTGTTCTGCATCCTGCTTTGTTCATTTAATGGTGTATCTTCGAAATTGTTGCACATCCACGCATTTTGCAATGTCTTGCTATCTTAGTTGGCTTGAGCTGCCACAATAAATATCCAAGCTTGGGCAGCTTAAACAACAGAAATTTGTTTCTCATAGTCCTGGAGGCCGGGAGATTCAAGATCACAATGCCAGCATGGCCAGGGTCTGGTGAGGGCTCTGTTCTTGTGTCACAGTGTCCTCACATGGCAGAGAGAGAAAGAGAACTCTGTCTCTCTGGTGTCTCTTCTTATAAGAATACTAATCGTGGCCAGGTGAGATGGCTCATGCCTGTAATCCTTGCACTCTGAGAGGCTGAGGCAGGAGGATCGCTTGAGCCCAGGAGTTTGAGGTTGCTGTGAGCTAGGCTGACTGATGCCAGGGCACTCTAGCCAGGGCAACAGAGCAAGACCGTGTCTCAAAAGAGAAAAATTAAAATACACACACAATTTTAATACATTTATTTAAAAGGTAACTTTACATCCTAAATGGCATACATCAATCAGCAACCCCAGCCATCGAAAATAGCAACGGTTTCGTATCTCTTGGGCACAAGCCTTCACACTTAGTCCTCGCGATAACCTAGCAGGTAGGTGGTGTTTATTAACGTTATAGAGAGGAAAGTGAAGCATAGAGAACTTTTAAGTAATGGCCCACGGGCACGGAGATAGCAAGCAGCAGATCCAGGGTTCGAACCCCACCAAGGTAAGCGCCACGCGCGTCTTGATTGGAGGTAAACAAAAAATAGAGACAATTGAAAAAACTCAGATAATTCTAGCAGGATCTTGCGGCCGCCGGATGGTGAGGCCTGCCCTGTCGGGAGTTAAAGGGAGAAGCGCCAGTCAAGAGGTGCACCCTGGCGCGGAGACTACCTGCGACGAAACCAGGCCGAAGGAGGGGACAGGGCGAAGGCCGCCAGGCCCTGCGCCCTCGCCCTCGCCCGACGCCCCGCTCCTCGCCGATGGGCCCCCAGCACCTGCGGGAAGGGCGGGGAATCGCTGCTCCTTCCCCGCCGCGCCCTCTCCGCCTTCTGCCCGCCTCCTTTTCGGGCGTCCCGAGGCTGCCCCCCACCCGACGGCCGCGACCCCGCAGACCACGTCGCCCTGGAGACAAGGCGCCCCGGATCGCAGAAGCGCCCGCGGGTCCGCGACTGGGAAGGTTAGGCAGGAGCAGCCCTGGCAGGCCCGCGGCCCCTCGGCCTTCCCGGAAGCTCAGTGCGCAGGTGGCACCACTGTGCCTGGAGCCGCTGCGCGCCCGGGGTATCCCCACCCGAGGCACCCCTACGGAGGCGACGCCGGGCCGAAGTGAGCGCGCGGGCAGCCGCGGCGGGGAGGGGCGTCCGCCCGATCTCAGGTGCGGGCCGGGACGTGCGGGCCCTGATTCAGGGGCTCTGATTCCTGGCGGCTCCCTCCACGCGGGCGGCTGCGCCGAGGACTGCGGTCCCCATCCGCGCAGCAATGGCGGGCGCTGCGGTCGCCGCGCTGGGGCTGCGCAGCTTGGCGACCGCAGGCGGGGGCGGGGGCTGGGGAGCGGCCCCTGAGCAGTTCCCGCAGCCCGAGGCCAGGGGCCGCGGGGACTTTTATTCTGACACGGCCGGCGCCGGGCTCTGCTTAGTCATGGTGACCTGCACGCTCCGCGCCTCCCCCCACGCGCCGCGATGGAGGCGCCCGGGCTCGGGCGGCGGAGGCGGAGCCCGAGCGCGGCCATGGCAGGGTGAGTGAGGCGGCCTGTGCCCGGGCTGCGGGCGCGGCGGGCCGTGAGCGCCCCCGCGGTCGTGCCCGGGGACCCGGGAACGCGGCGCCACGGCCCCGGGCGCCTCCAAGTCCCCCCCGCGGCTCCTGGGAGGGCCAGGAGGGCGCGGCCCAGGTCCGATCTTTTTGTTGGACGGCGCGAGTCGCGGGGTGGCCCTCGAGCGACGCAAGCTGGGCGGAGAACCCAGGAAGAGTTGCTCAGACGGAGGCCCGGGGACCTCGGGGAATTGGGGGGCTCGGTCTGCGCTCTGGGGTTGGCAGCGCACAGGCCGCGGCGGGGTCACTTCCTCCCTTCTCCAGGCCTCGGTGGCGGCTCAGGCGGGGCATGCGCAGTCCTCCACTCGCCGCTTCTTGGGGGGAAGTGCCAGGTGCCAGGAGGGCACCGTTGACCGATTGGCCAACGACCGAGAGGCAAACCTGGGGCCTTGGCACGGGAGAAGGGGCCAGGCGGCGCCCTGGGCGTGTGGAGGAGGGCGCTCTGGCAGGCACAGTGGAGTGGGCAGCCAGCCAGCCACCGTTTGCCGACCCCTGCGTGGTGCCAGGCCCCGGCGCAACACAGGGAGGCACAGGAGAGAGCGTGGGCCCAACGCTCACCCTCGCCGGGCTCCCTGCCTTTGAAGCGCTGGGGCAGGGGGAGAGAGAGACGGTCCACCCCTCAACAAACAGCAACTAGCAAAGGAGATCATTTGAGTTCCTGACAGTGCTGTGATGAAAATAAAACAAGGAGGAGGGGACTCTGAGCTGAGCCTCAGAAAGATGAGAGGAAAAGAAGGGGAGCCTCCTGCAGACTCCCACCCCCACTTTCAAAACAGAACTCATCCCCTGGCCCCCCAGTCTCCGGGGCTTTCCATGAATCCCTTCCGTCCACATCAGCTCTCACTACATTCCTCCCTGACTCTCCAGATCAGTGCCTGGAACACAGTAGGCACTCAATAAATGTTGGTGAGGTGAATGAAGGAATGAGCTTGACATGCTCTAGGAAGGGAAAGGCTGCTGGATGGCTGGAGCAGAGTGAGCAAAGGAAGGAGGTGGGCAGGGGTGAACTGCATAGGGTCTTGCAGGTCATTGAGGAGTTCGGTTTTTACTTCTAGTACTGTAGATGGTGTTGGAGCATTTAGAGCAGGGCAGAGACATGATCTGACCTATGGGGTTTTTTGGTTTGTTTTTGTCTTTTTGGAGACATTGTCTCACTTTGTTGCCCAGGTATGAGTGCAGTGGTATGATCATAACTCAAAGCAACCTCAAACTCCTGGGCTCAAGTGCTCCTCCTGCCTCAGCCTCCCAAGTAGCTGGGACTACAGGCTTGAGCCCCTTATCCTGCTAATTTTTCTGTTCTTTCTTTTTTTCTTTGTAGAGACAGGGTCTCACTCTGTTGCTCAGGCTGGTCTTGAACTCCTGACCTCAAGCGATCCTCCTGCCTTGCCCTATGTTTTAAGATGGGCCCTTGGGCTGATGAGGTTGGGGGAGGTTTGCAAGTGCGAATGGATTGCACTTTAGGTGGTTTGCTTGGGAGGGAAAACTAACCTGGGAATTGCTTTATCTTACAAAAAAAAAAGGAGGCCTGGCACGTGCTGGCCCAGCGCCAGGTTCTGCCCCAAGCCCTGTGCTCTGTCTCTTCCAGGCCCCTGAGTGCCAGAGGTGGTGGTGTTCCTTGTCACCTGGAACCCCATGCAGCCAGAACCCAGGCCTAGCGGGGCTGGGGCCCGCAGCCGATTCCTGCCCCTGAATTCAAAGTGCCCCAAGGGGGCAGGGGACACGGTGATGTACGCCTCCACTGAGTGCAAGGCTGAGGTGACGCCCTCCCAGCATGGCAACCGCACCTTCAGCTACACGCTGGAGGATCACACCAAACAGGCCTTTGGCATCATGAATGAATTGCGGCTTAGCCAGCAGCTGTGTGACGTCACCCTGCAGGTCAAGTATGAGGACACGCCGGCCGCCCAGTTCATGGCCCACAAGGTGGTGCTGGCCTCATCCAGTCCCGTGTTCAAGGCCATGTTCACCAACGGGCTGCGGGAGCAGGGCATGGAGGTGGTGTCCATCGAGGGCATCCACCCCAAGGTCATGGAGCGCCTCATCGAGTTCGCCTACACCGCCTCCATCTCCATGGGCGAGAAGTGTGTGCTCCACCTCATGAATGGCGCTGTCATGTACCAGATCGACAGTGTCGTCCGCGCCTGCAGTGACTTCCTGGTGCAGCAGCTGGACCCCAGCAATGCCATTGGCATCGCCAACTTCGCCGAGCAGATCGGCTGCACCGAGCTGCACCAGCGCGCCCGGGAGTACATCTACATGCACTTCGGGGAGGTGAGCGAGGAGAGGGGTCTTGGAGCAGGGGCTTGGGGACGGTGTCAGAAGGACCAGGGATGGAACGATGAGAGGGGAAAGGCCAAGGCAGGGAGCCGGAGAAAAATGGGGTTTTGAACTCCTAGTCCACACATGTGGGGAGTTTCTGTTTAATAGCTGGTGAAAGGGACATCTTCATGGGTCTCTGGGCTCCCTGGTTCCTTTGGGGCCAAAAGCAGGGACAGAGTGCAGCAAACATGACAGCTGCCAAACCCTGGGATGCACTGGGCAGCCTGGCCTTTCAGGCAATGAGCAGATATTTACTGGACACCCATGACAGGCTGCAAATCTGATCCTTGGTTGTGTGTTCTTTGGTCCACGCAATGTCCTCGTTTTTGGTTTCATTTTCATTTCTCAGTGGAGGAAGTTGTCAACAAAAAATAGGAGAGATCTTTAAAAGAAATCATAATGATCAGCCCTAATTTGTGAGTGGCAACAGCTAGACGTTACACCTTCGAGGTGATAATAATAAGTGTTTATTGAGGACTTGAGGTGGACTAGCCCCTCTTCTAAGTGACTCACCTCCTTTAAATCATTGACTATTCCCATCCTATGAGACGGTACTGACCTTCGGCCTAGGCAGGCAGGGCAGTGCCCCAGGCCCCAAGCCTTACCAATGTGCTTTGGAGTGCCTGCCTGACAATTTTCTTTTCTTTTTCTTTTTTTTGTAGAGACAAGGTCTCATTCTGTCACCCAGGCTGGAGTGCAGTGGCATGATCATAGCTTACTGCAGCCTTGAACTCCTGGGCTCAAGTGATCCTTCCACCTCAGCCTCCTGAGTAGCTGGGACTATAAGCATGTGCCACCACATGGTTAATTTTTGTATTTTTTTGTAGAGACAGGGTCTTGATATATTGCCTGGGCTGGTCTCAAACTCTTGGCCTCAAGTGATCCTCCTGTCTTGGCCTCCCAAAGTGCTGGGATTATAGACAAGAGTTACTGTGCCTGGCCTATTTTCTAAGGCCTGTAGCTAGGACCAGCTGGGGTGGGTGCTACCCTGGTCCCGTTTCTCTTTGGGGATGGATGCTCTCTTCTCTGCCACCCTACATGTGGGGTCGACCAGGTCCAGAGATGCATTCTAGTATTAGTCCTAGGGCCCATGGCTTCTAGAAAAGTGGTCCAGGAAGTAGGTCGCTCACAGTGGCCTGCACAGTGTTTCTTTCTTGGGATTGCATGAGTTTAGGGTACCAGATCAAAATTGTTTATATAGACGGGTGCCTGACAAGTAATATTTGTCCAGGGCCCTGTCTACCCTAGAAGTAACCCTGCTGGGATGTGGCCCCTAAGACAATCTCCATTTTACAGAGAAGGAAAACCAAGGCATGGAGCATTTCAAAAATATGCCCAAATCACATAGCTAGAAAGTAGTAGGACCAAAATTACAGCTCATGCTGGTTTCTTCAATGCTGGCACTTTTAAAAATTCTAGAACATTCTATCGCTGTTGCTTCCCCCCCCCTTTGATTCAGTCTGTCCTTTTGGAAAATGATTTTACTAAAAAAAAAAAAAAAAAAAATAAGATGTACTCATACCTGTAATCCCAGCTACTCAGGAGGATGCGGTAGGAGGGTCACTTGAGCCCGAGAGTCTGAGGTTGCTGTGAGCTACGATGGTGCCACTGTACTTCGGCCTGGGCTTCTGAGCGAGACCCTGTCTCTTAAAAAAAAAAAAAAAAAATTAAAAACTCTGCTTCTTGGAGCAGAAAATAGTAACAACAACAATAGCAGCAAAATAGGTGACATATTCTTAGAGTTGCAAAGTTGAATGATACAAAAGTATACATAGTATGTTGCCTTTTTGCCCATTTATCTGAGTGCCTGGCCCCTTGTGTAACTCATTTAATCCTCACAGTTTATTTACTTATTTATTTTTATTTTTTTAGAGACAGGTCTCTCGTTCTGTCGCCCAGGCTGGAGTGCAGTGGCGCGATCATAGCTCCCTGCAGCCTTGAACTCCTGGGCTCAAGCGATCCTTCTGCCTCGGCCTCCCGAGTAGCTGGGACTCCAGGCGCGCAGCCACCACGCCCGGCTAATCCTCACAATTTATGAGGTTCATACTATTCGAATCCCCGTTTTGCAGATGATTACGCTGAGACCTTCAGAGGCACCTTGAGTAACTTGTCCAAGGTCCTGCTTGGTGAGGGGTGGGGGAGACACATAGGAGTCAGCCCGTCCCACTTCCCGCCCCATGCAGGTAGCCAAGCAAGAGGAGTTCTTCAACCTGTCCCACTGCCAGCTGGTGACTCTCATCAGCCGGGACGACCTGAACGTGCGCTGCGAGTCCGAGGTCTTCCACGCCTGCATCAACTGGGTCAAGTACGATTGCGAGCAGCGGCGCTTCTACATCCAGGCGCTGCTCCGCGCCGTGCGCTGCCACTCGCTGACGCCGCACTTCCTGCAGATGCAACTGCAGAAGTGCGAGATCCTGCAGTCAGACTCCCGCTGCAAAGACTACCTGGTGAAGATCTTCCAGGAGCTCACCCTGCACAAGCCCACGCAGGTGATGCCCTGCCGGGCGCCCAAGGTGGGCCGGCTCATCTACACGGCGGGCGGCTACTTCCGCCAGTCCCTTAGCTACCTGGAGGCCTACAACCCCAGCGATGGCACTTGGCTCCGGCTGGCGGACCTGCAGGTGCCACGCAGCGGCCTGGCGGGCTGCGTGGTGGGCGGGCTGTTGTACGCGGTGGGCGGCCGGAACAACTCCCCGGATGGCAACACCGACTCGAGCGCCCTGGACTGCTACAACCCCATGACCAACCAGTGGTCCCCCTGCGCCCCCATGAGCGTGCCACGCAACCGCATCGGGGTTGGCGTCATCGACGGGCACATCTATGCAGTCGGGGGCTCCCACGGCTGCATCCACCACAACAGCGCTGAGAGGTGAGTGGCCAGGGCCTGGAGGGGTGGGCTTCAAGGGTGCCGCCACTGAGGTGTCCCAAGCCACTGAGATCCAGACATTCTCCCTGATCTTGAGTGATGGTCTCTGCTCCCTGCCTTCAGGAAGGAGACGTTGCAAGGTGAAGCTAAAGTGGGAAATTTACAGTCAGTGACCTTGGATGATGTGTCTGGCACTGTTAATGCTTATAGGATGGTCACAAACCCATACGGCTCCTTTGTGCAGATTTGGAAAATGTTCCATCACTTCGAAATTATTGAGCTGGGTGCAGTGGCTCACGCCTGTGATCCCAGCACTTTGGGAGGCCAAAGTGGGAGGATCACTTGAGACCAGGAGTTCAAGACCAGGCTGGACAATATAGTGAGACTCCATCTCTCTCTTTTTTTTTTTTTTTTTTAAGAGATGGGGTCTGGCTTTTGCTCAGGTTGGTCTCAAACTCCCCCGCCTCTGCCTCCCAGGCGTGCACCACCACAGACCTGCTAATTTTTTTTAAATATTTGGTTGCTTGGCTAATTTTTTTTATTTTTAGTAGAGATGGGATCTCGCTCTTGATCAGGCTGGTTTCAAACTGCTGACCTCAAGTGATCCTCCTGCCTTGGCCTCCCAGAGTGATAGGATTACAGGTGTGAGCCACCACGGCCGGCCTGTTAACCTCATCCTTGAAGTACTCCTTGAGCATCAATCACACTTTGAGAAAAACCATTCTTGGCAGCAGCCTAGTTGTTAGAATTAGGACTCTGGGGTTAAACCCCAGCTCCACTGCTCCTTGGTGACACCAGACATGGCATTTCACCTTTCTGCCACTCCATCTTGTCCTAATCTGTGACTGAGTGGGGCGTTGGTGAAATCACACATAGGACTCAGCACAAGGCCTGGCAGAGGTATCACCAAGCCACTGGGGTCCAACAGATGTGGGTGTGACCTCATGTGATTGATGGCTGTGAGCCTCAGTTTCCTCATCTGGAAAATGGAGCAGTGATACCTGGCTCCTTGGAGAATGGCTGGGAGATCAGAGAGTTCAAGTGTATGAAGAATGAGCAAGGTACCAAACCCATGGTGAGAGTTCCAAGAAGGTCAGCTGTGATCACTGCTGTCATCACTGTTCTTATGCCCTTGCAGGTATGAGCCGGAGCGGGACGAGTGGCACTTGGTGGCTCCGATGCTGACACGAAGGATCGGGGTGGGAGTGGCCGTCCTCAACCGTCTCCTCTATGCTGTCGGTGGCTTTGATGGGACGAACCGCCTTAACTCGGCAGAGTGCTACTACCCAGAGAGGAACGAGTGGCGGATGATCACACCCATGAACAGCATCCGAAGCGGGGCAGGTGGGTGGCACTGTGGGGAGGGGAGTGTCCAGGAAACATGCCACCCAGTCCCGGGGTGAAACCCTAGAGCTCCAACATTTACCCAGTGGCACCCACAAAAGAGCTGGATTCCTCTAGAGTCCCAGCCTCTGTCTCAGCTTTGTTTCTGAGGGCTGCCTCGGGAGAGGGGTGTAGGGTGAGGGGAGGGCTCCCCCAGGAAGGTGGTGGCTGGGGCCCCAAGGCTAGGCCCCAGAGTCACCCTCCCTGCGTGGCGCTGTTTAGGCGTCTGTGTCCTGCACAACTGTATCTATGCCGCGGGGGGGTACGACGGTCAGGACCAGCTGAACAGCGTGGAGCGCTACGATGTGGAAACAGAGGCGTGGACTTTCGTAGCCCCCATGAAACACCGGCGAAGTGCCCTGGGGATCACCGTGCACCAGGGAAGAATCTACGTCCTCGGTGAGGTTTGGGATAGAGAAGAGTCCATGGCAGGGCACAAGTGGCTCACGCCTGTAATCCCAGCACTTTGGGAGGCTGAGGTGGGAGGATCGCTGAGGCCAGGAGTTCGAGACCAGCCTGGGCAGCATAGTAAGACCCCAACTCTACAAAGAAAAAAAAATTAGCCAGGTGTGGTGCTGCACACTTATAGTCCCAGCTACTCAGGAGGCTGAGGTGGGAGGATTGCTTGAGCCCAGGAGTTTGAGGTTGCAAGTGAGCTATGATTGTACCACTGCGCTCCAGCCTGGGCAATACAGCAAGACCCTGTCTCAAAAGAAAAAAAAAAAAAAAAGAAGAGTGCTGACTAGACCCACCTATTAGGGACAGGTGGCTTTTGTGTCTCATGGTTGCTTCCTCCTCTCTTTCCCCTGCCTTCCGAGGTGGTGTGACCTGTGGTGACCATCCCCTCTGCTCTCCCTGCAGGAGGCTATGATGGTCACACATTCCTGGACAGCGTGGAATGTTACGACCCAGACACAGACACCTGGAGCGAGGTGACCCACATGACGTCCGGCAGGAGTGGGGTGGGCGTTGCTGTCACCATGGAGCCCTGCCGGAAGCAGATCGACCAGCAGAACTGTACCTGTTGAGCCGATTTTTTTTTCGGGTGGGGGGAAAAAACGGACCGACAGAGAGTATTGTTCTTTTGGTACAAAAACAGGGACAAAAGAAAAAGCCCCAGTGCAAATACTCCTTATCCTCCAGGAAGGGAGGCTGGGATGCCTCAGTGTTACTATGACAGCTCGAAAGTAAAGGAAGGCCAGGACAGGAACCTATAAGCCCCTCGAAGCAGTCCCAGGAATGTCCAAGACGGCCTGCTTGGGAGGGGGTGTGCAGTCCCAGGAATGTCCAAGACGGCCTGCTTGGGAGGGGGTGTGGGATGGGCAGACCCCCCAGGAGAGAGGCCCCCACACTGCTGGCCAGAAAACAGGCCTCAGTCACACCCCGGTGGCAGCCATCACTTCCCTCTGGGTTGAAAGCAGGCGCTGAGGTCAGGCTGGTTTTTGTTCCTGGCAGCTTTGTGATTCATTCCTGGAGTCCGGGAGGGGACCCAGCGAGGACTTAGGAGTTTCAGCCCCTCCGGAAATGTGGTTCCCGGGGATGGTCCTGTACATAGAAGCCACCGGCTATCTCTGCCCTGGGCAGTTATTTTGTTGATACGTAACCCTGTAACTTTCCAAGGAAAATAAAGAACAAACTAACTAGTGTCTTCCACCCAGGCTGTTAGCTGGAGATCTTAAACCCGGCAACAGAAAGGGCTCTTCTCCTGAAATGCACTTGAGTCTTCTTTTAGGGCTTGCCTTTCAAACCAGTTCCTTATCTCTGCCCATTGCATTTTGATATGTAGGGCATCTTTGTCCCTCTCGGCAAGCCGCACAATTGTCTCCCAGTTTCAGCTGCCTTGGAAGACAATGACCTAAGTCCTTGACACATCTCCTAGGACTCCTGAGATCGATCTCATATGTGCCATGCAGTTTATTTATTTTTTTTGAGACAGAGTCTCGCTTTGTTGCCCAGGCTAGAGTGAGTGCCGTGGCATCGGCCTAGCTCACAGCAACCTCAAACTCCTGGGCTCAATCAATCCTGTTGCCTCAGCCTCCCAAGTGGCTGGGACTACAGGCATGTGTCACCATGCCGGCTAATTTTTTTCTATATATATTAGTTGGCCAATTATTTCTTTCTATTTATAGTAGAGATGGGGTCTCGCTCTTGCTCAGGCTGGTTTCAAACTCCTGACCTCGAGCAATCCACCCCCCTCGGCCTCCCAGAGTGCTAGGATTACAGGCATGAGCCATCGCGCCTGGCTGCCATGCAGTTTATATTTCAAGGGAAACCATCTCCAACATGCCTTCCAAAATTGGCGAAAATCTATCTGGCCATTTGTTATGTGCTATAATGACACAGACTGAACCTTTGTTTTATTTAGGTGCCTGGGTATTAAAAGGACAAAGGGGTTTCTTGGAAGCGAAGCTACTTGGTGGTTATCTTGGGCAAGGGGTTCAACCCCCTGGTCCCTTCTGAACAATTTGTGTGGGGGTAGCATGTGGCCTGCCTCTGTTCTTCTACCAATCAACTATTTGTGCCAGGCTAGAGAAAAGACATAAGACCTATGGCCCCAACTCTTGGGGAACTCACAGGTTTTTCTGAGTAGCTTAGAGAGGAAACACTTTTCTCTCTCTCTCTCTTTTTTTTTTTTTTTTGAGACAGTGTCTCACTCTGTTGCCTGGGCTAAAGTGCAGTGGTGTCATCATAGCTCATAGCTCACAGCAACTTCAAACTCCTGGGCTCAAGCAATCCTCCTGCCTCAGCCTCCCGAGTAGCTGAGACCACAGGTGGGCACCACAATGCCTGGCTAAGTTTTCTATTTTTAATAGAGAAAGGGTCTTGCTCTTACTCAGTCTGGTCTCGAACTCCTGAGCTCAAGCAATCCTCCTACCTTGGCCTCCCAGAATGCGAGGATTACATGTGCAAGCTGCCATGCCCAGGCCTGAACTCTTTTTACAGGTAGAGAGGGAGATGTCTGGAGAAGTGGCTTGTCCAAGGCCATAAGGCCACTAAGTGGTGAAGTTCAGATTCAACCTGTAGAGTACACCAAAGTAGTCATTCTCAGCCACAAAGCACTGTAACACTGCATCTGAGATAAGGAAATATTAAAGAGGCCCCATGGAGTCAGTGTGTACAGCAGCGAAAATTCCAGAAACAGCAACCTCATCTACAGCTAAGGGGATTTACACATAATGTGCCACACACCCGGGCCTAGGGTGGTGTTTCCTTTCAAAAGGGGTATCACTTTGGTCTTGAAGTCAGGTTTAGCTGATTCAATATATTAATAACAGTTAGGGTATCAGCCTGTAAGTGAATAGTTCCTTATCTGCAGAAAATGGCACTTGGATGCCTTCTGGGCATTAGGCCCTGTGGCAGCTGCTGACCAACAAAGGTGAGTATTTACGGTCACTTTCCAACTCCAGCAAAACAACTTTTTTCCAGTCCTTACTCTGCTAGGCATTGGGGCTATGCAACCATTCCACGGTGACTGCTGCCCTCTTGGAAATCACAGCTTAGCAAGAGGGAACGGTGACCAACTCATCTGGGTTTGCCTGGGACTTTCTCAGTTTGAACACTGAAAGGCCAGCAGCCCAGGAAGCCCTCCTTGGTCCCAGAGCATTGGGCATACTGCAGGTAAGCCACATGCCAAAGCAATAACTACCAACATGCCGATGGGGGCCATGGTTAAGTTTGCGTTTTGGAGTCGATGGCTCTGGGAGCCAGGTGGAAATGGCTTGGCTGGGAATGGGAGTGGATTGGGAAGACTAAACGACATCTGCAGTTGTCCAGGTGAGAGATGATGGTGTTTGGATGGGGCAGGTGGCCGTTGGAGTGAAGTAGAATGTACACACAAAGAGAATGATGAGATATCCAGGTTGAAGAATCCAGAATGATCCTGGGTTTCAAGCTCTACTGGCCAACGACAGAGAGGCTTGGAGGAGGCTGGAGTCAGAAGGGAGGTGATGACGGGTTGGGTTTTGGGTGTGTTAGGTTTGCAGCCTCAAGAGACAATTGTTTCAGGAAAGTTCGCAGAGGCAGCCACTTAAGAACTGTTCGGTGCCAGCAAATGTCGGCTGCTTTGTGCCAGGTATGAAGTGGTGTGTTCCGACATCATGTGGACCAAGCGTGACACCATCCCTTTCTTGTGGAATTGGAGTTAATAAAATAATCACATAATTGTATGTCATTACCATCAAAGGTAAACTCTCAAAGGCATAGGAGCTTGACCTAGACTAGAGGCCCTGCAAAAGCATTCTTGAAGAAGGGGCTTATCTCACCGAAATCCAAAGGCACTGCATTTGAAGTGTAAGATTCTGAACAGGAAGCAGCATAGCATGTGCAAAGGTCCTGTGGCACTGGGAGGCAAGTCTGGATGAAGCTCTACAATGGAGGAGGAACATGGTATCAACAGAGGCTGAACCAAGCTGTAGTTAGGGGGCCAGGCCACCTTTAACTGTTAAATACATAACTATTACTTTAAAAAATTAAAATATTAGAGATAAAGCTGAAATTTTACTATCTCTCCATCCCAGCCCTCTTTAATCTTAAAAAGAAAAAAAAAAAAAAAACAACTTTGCAGCAATGTTCTGTGTTCCTTTACATAAATGGCATAATGTTGGGTATATGCTGCAACTTGGTTTTCCCCCTCAGATCTTCTAGGTCTGTGGCCACATTCCTTTACCCAGCTACCCAATGTTCTGTTTTAGCTATCTCTTCCACTATGGATAGATGTTTAGGTTGTTTCCATTTTCTTAGAATTACAGGTAAGGCTACAACACCCTTTCCTAGTCATGTCTCCTTGGGCACAAGTGTGTGTGTGTATTTCTCCAGGGAGATGCTAAGAGGTGCGATTTACTAGACCAGGGGTATGTAGGGTTTGATGCTGACAGATCGCCCTACAAAGTGGTTGTAACAAACATTCCAGCAGTTCTTTATACATTTAGACACAATCAAATGTATCATTGTTTTCCTTTGATAGTTCATTTGTATCACATTTAAGAATGACTTTAGGTTTTTGGCATTTTCTGCAGCTTCCTATCCAGTCGTTAATTGTCTCCCACCCATAAATTAATTTCCATTTCCTCTAAATTAACAACAGTTGTTTTTTGTTGGTTCTGTTAGAACCAGGAATCCTGGCTGGGTGCCATGGCTCGTGCCTGTAATCCTAACACTCTGGGAGGCCAAAGTGGGAGGATCACTTGAGGGCAGGAGTTTGAGACCAGCCTGGGCAATACAGTTGACCCTGTTTCTACGAAAAGGTAGCAGAGTGTGGTGGTGGCCTGCCTGTAGTCCCAGCTATTCTAGAGGCTGAGGTGGGAAGATCACTTGAGCCCAGGAATTGGAGGCTGCAGTGAGCTGTGATCATATCACTGCGTTCCAGCCTGGGTGACAGAGAAAGACTCTGTCTCTTAAAAAACAAAAACAAACCAAAAAACAAACGAAAAAAAGAACAAGAATCCTGATTTGTGGAGTCATCAAGAAATTTTTCAAAATATATTTTCTTCAAACATATTTAAGTTTTGTTTTTGCACTATTTTAAAATGTATCTGGAGTTTGTTAGTGTGTATCTGGAATTTGTTAGTGTGTATGCTATAAAGTAGGAATTTACATTTTTAGGTAGTCATTTGCTGGAAAACCATTTGTTTTCCAAAGCATTTCTTGAATAATTCATTTTTTACCCATAGCTTTCAATGCTATTTCTATCATATAACAAATTCCCATTTATGCATGAGACTCTATTTTGTTTTTATTGACTTTCCAATCTGTTTTATTGACCTAAATATCCATTTTTGTACCAACTTCATTGTTATAATTATTGCAGATTTATAATATGTCTTTCATTTTCTGAGACAGAGTCTCACTCTGTTGCCCTGGCTAGAGTGCAGTGGCGTCATAGCTCACTGCAGCCTCAAACTCCTGGGCTTTCAAGGGATCCTTTCTCCTCAGTCACTGCTCCCAGCCTTGTTCCCGCTTTTAAAATTAGTATTCTTCAAAACTTCTGAGCAAATGCTATTTCTTATAAATCAAATAAAAGTGCACATACATTCAGAAAGTTCCCAATTTAAGGAACTCAATGGTCCCTCCTGCTAGCCCCAGCACTACATCTACAACGCAGGGGTGTAACTTTGATTTCATTTCAGCACATTTTAAGCAGAAACACTGCAGACTACATATCCCAGGATCCTCTGGGGGTTACTGCAGACTACATATCCCAGAACCCTCTGGGGTTTATTTATTTTATTTTGAGACAGAGTCTAGAGTGCTGTGGCGTCAGCCTAGCTCATAGCAACCTCAAACTCCTGGACTCAAGTGATCCTCCTGCCTCAGGCTCCCGAGTAGTTGGGACTACAGGCATGCGCCACCATGCCTGGCTAATATATATATATATATATATATATATATATATATTTTTTTTTTTTTTTTTTTTTAACACACAGGGTCTCCCTCTGTTGCCTGGGCTAGAGTACAGTGGTGTCATCATAGCTCACTGCAACCTGTAACCTCAAACTCCTGGGCTCAAGCAATCCTCCCAGTTCAGTCTCCTGAGTAGCTGAGACTGCAGGCGTGCACCACCAAGCTCAGCTAATTTTTTGTCTTGTAGAGATGGGGACTGGCTCTCAAAGTGCTAGGATAACAGATGTGTGTCACTGGGCTCAGCCTGGATTATTCGTTAATGTGCAACCAGAAACTGTGACAAGTGCTCTAGGAAAAAGTAGCTTGTAAAAGACACAAACAAAGGTATTTGTTGGTTTTGTATTCATAATTTATTCTTCTGTTTCTTTAATCATTTAATTTCTATTTTAGGTTTTTATTTTTTTTTCCAGCTTTGTTGGGGGTATAGTTGACAACTAAAAATTGTATAGAGGCTGCTCACAGTGGTTTATGCCTGTAGTCCTAGCTACTTGGGGAGCTGAGGCAGGAGGATCACGAGCCCAGGAGTTCAAGGTTGCCATTAGCTATGATCGAGCCCCTGCACTTCGGCCTGGGCAACAGAGGTAGATCCTGTTTCTGGAAAAAAAAAATTGTATAGAGGAGCTACTGGGCTGGTGAATAGATCAAGGTGCTGAAAGTTTAGTGTACCTGGAGAGGGCAGGGCAGCTCTGTTACTTCATGAACAAATATATCATAATTGTTTTAAGCCATTAAAAATTGTATATTTAAAGTGTACAAGTTGATGATTTGATATACATATACATGGTGAAATACTCACAATTAAGCTAATTAATATTTCCATCAGCTCACACAGTTACCATTTTCTTTTTTTGGTGAGAACACTTAAGATGTACCCCCTCGGCAAGTTTCAAGTATACAAAACAGACCAGGTGTCGTGGCTCACGCCTGTAATCCTAGCACCTGGGAGGCCGAGGCGGGAGGATCGCTTGAGCTCAGGAGTTCGAGACCAGCCTGAGCAAGAGCAAGACCCTGTCTCTACTAAAAATAGAAAAATTAGCTGGGCACAGTGGCGTGAGCCTGTAGTCCCAGCTACTTGGGAGAATGAGGCAGGAGGATCACTTGAGCCCAGGAGTTTGAGGTTACTTCGAGCTAGGCTGATGCCATAGCACTCTATCCCAGGTGATAGAGTGAGACTCATCTCAAACATAGAAAAGTATGCAAAATGATATTGGTAATTATATTTACATTGGTGTATGTGAAATCTCCAGAACTTGTTCATCTCATATAACTGAAACTTTGTACCCCTTGGCCAACATTTCCTCCTTTCCCCCTCCTCAATGATTCTTCTATTCTTTTTTTGTTTTTCTTGTAGAGATGGGTGAGGTCTTGCTATGTTGCCCTGGCTGGTCTTGACCTCTTGGCCTCTAGCAATTCTCCTGCCTTAGCCTCTCAAACTGCTGGGATTACAGGCATGAGCCACTGCACATGCCCATATTCTTATTCTGTCTTGTTCGTTATTTTATTTCAACACATAGAGCACTGGATCACAATAGGAGCCTCACACATACTCGAATGCTGAGCAGATGAATTCTTGGTCAAGATGGTGGTACAATCAATACATGTGTGTGGGATTGAATGCGATTGTCCAGGTCTTCCAGATGCTTCTCCAAGGGTGTGGACTATGTCAGATCTTTGGAAGAGGAAAGCTACTAAGCCTACTAGGATTTCAGTTCAACACAAGGACGCCCTTTCCATCTCCCTCTACTGTTGCCATTAGATCTCTTGGGACTTTATGGGAAAAAAAAAAAAAATGATGCCTCTTGCAGGTGACAACCCTGCATATCTCCAGTCACTCAGTAAGCACCTGCCCGCTGACATTCCTGATGTCAGGAATGGAGAGAAGCACTTGATCAATACGCGAAGGCAGTTTTAGATTCTTCCTGTGGCTTCTATTTTAGGAGAAACAGCCCCTGTTCCTTAAACAATTTCACATGCGACATGTGAGTTCCTTTATCGGCTAGTTTCATCTTCATCTCCCCTTCAGCTTGGAGGGATGAGCTGAGTGTTGAATCCTCCTTTCCCCAACTAGGTGGAAGGAGAGCGCGAGGGGGGAGGGGCGATTTGGAGGTTTCTCGAATCTACGGGGACCACGCGAGCCCTTGCAGGGATTTGCAGGGAGGAAGGGGTCGCCCTCAGGAAAAGGGGGGATACGATAGGAGACCCTCAGGAAACGGGGGGGCAATGCCAGGCCCCTTCCCAGGAGAAAGGAACGACTCTGGGGTCCCCTCAGGAAGAAATAACGACTTGGGGTTCCCCTCAGGAAGAGGGGATGATGCCTGGGTCTCCCGCAGGAAAGGAGGACAATGCGAAGGCCCCATCAGGAAAGGGAGGGGACACCAGGGTCCCCTCAGGAAGGGCGGGTGACGCCAGAATCCCACTCAGCAAGCGGGCACGACTCTGGGTCCCTCTCAGGGAAAAGGGATGATGCCAGGCGTCCCCTAAAGGACGGGGGGACTGACGCCAGGGTACTCTCAGGAAAAGAGGACGACGCTGGGGTCCGCCTGGGAAGGTAGGAACGACGCTGGGGTCACTCTCACCTACCTCAGGGCCCCCGGTACCTGCTGCGGCCGGAGCACCATAAGCTCCGCGGCGCCTCAGCTCCTTCAGCGGTCGGGTTCGACAGACGCGCCCATGCTCCTCATTGGCTGCTTTCTTGGCAGATGACAAGTACTCCAGCCAATCGTAGCGTGGGGAAAAATCTCCCGCGCGACTTGACCACGCCTTCTACTCGTTCTGCGCGTGCGCGGCTTCCTGACCCTGCTATTGATCCCCAGCTCCCCTCCAGGGGGCGCTCGAGGGTTCACGCTCCCAGCCTTGCCTCCTGGCCTGCCTCTGCGTATGACCCGTTTTATATTAATAATAATAGCACATACTTGATAGGGCTGTTGTGAGAATTATGTCCGTTCATTTATGTAAAACAAAGAAACAGCTTCCGGTAAACCTGAGCTATTGTTATTTGCACTTTCCGGCGAGGAGAACTGAGGCACAGAGAAGGTAAGGAACCTGCTCAGACTAGCCCAGCCAGCCATTAACTTGGCAAAGTCTGAAGCGGAGTCCAGGGAAGCTGAATCTAGAGTTCGTGTGTTTATCCACAACAGTTTTGTGGCTACCAGATAACAAATTCAGGATGTTTTTTGTTTTTCCCTGATTATAAAATAATTTTCCCTGATTATAAAAATAATACATGCCCATTGCAAAAAAGTTCAGAAAAAAATGAAGACTCCAAAGTAGAAAACAAAGATCTCTTATAATCCGGCTGCTGGAGACACTGTTAATATTTTGATGGGTGAGTGTCTTTTTTTTTAAAAAGTGTCTCTTACCTCTATTATTGCATTTTCTTTTTTTTTTTTTTCTTTTTTTTTTTTTTTTTTTGATAGACTCTGTCGCCTGGCCTAGAGTGCATTGGCATCATCATAGCTCACTGCAGCCTCAAACTCCTGGGCTCAAGTGATCCTCCTACCTTGGCCTCCCAGCATGCTGGGATTACAGGTGGGAGCCACTGCACCCCACCCAGTTGTTGTTTTTGGTAAGTATTGTCAGACCACTCCTGGAAAAGCTGTATGTTCCAGCTTCCACACCAATGAGCTGTGAAAGTGCTTTGTATACCCTAAACATAGTCCATCTTCTAATTATTTATTAACAGATGAAAATGAATGAGTGTCTTATTTTGATTTGCACTTCCTTATGTTTTGATGTTGTTGAAGAGGGGGGAATATTCCCTACATCTTCAGGTTTCATGCACATGAAATGATAATATTATATAAAAATATCAGGGTTGCTATCATTGTGGAACAGGCACTGGGCTAAAACAAGATCCCAGCCTCATTTTCCTGAATTTTCTCTGCACTGTGTGATCTCTTTTAGGTCCTTGGTTTCCTCATCTACAAAATGGAGCTGATGATGGTATCTCAAGGGCAGCTGGAGAGCCAATGAGTTAACCCGCCTAGAAAGTTCAGCACAGGGCAGGGCTCTCTAAAGGCTGGGAGAGGTAGAGCCATTTGCTGAAGACCACATAGCCTGCAAGCAGCTGATGTCCACTTTATTTTTCTTCTTTCCTTTCTTTCTTTTTTCTTTTTAGAGATGGGGTCTTGCTATGTTGCCCAGGCTGGTCTTGAACTCCTGGCCTCAAGCAATCCACCTGCCTTGGCCTCCCAAAGTGCTGGCATTACAAGCATGAGCCACCGTGCCTGGCCTTGATGTCAACTTCAGAGAATAAACCGACTTCACCCCCTTCCCCAGGTCCCCCAGGCCTGTTCAGATTACAAGACCCCACTGCCCTTGGTCACCTTTGCCTGAGGAAAGATGAACTCTCCACCTGGGGAAATTTTAAAGAGCCAGCTGGTGGTCACATACCACTCGTACCCTTTGACCTGCCTTCTTAGTCTGTCACCATGTCCCAATAAAGGTGGTGTTTGGGACATCACATCTGCCCTTTTATACTTGGGAAAACTGAGGCTTGCAGCAAGAAGTCTCACCCAGGGACATCCACCATCCCCTGCTGGCTGGGATTGGTGCCGTAGCCTCCTGACCTCTGGCCTAACACCCTTTCCCCGACTCTGCCTCCCTTTGAAACACCCTGGGGACAGGGTCTGTGTCTCCTCTTGGCTTCTTGCACAAAGTTCAGATTCACTGAAAACTTCTACCTAGTTTCTTAGCATTGCTTCTCCCCTCTGGGTCCGGGCTGGCCCCTACTCCTCTGGGCCGTGATATCTACTGTGAATCTTTCAGCCACTGTCAAGCAGAACTCTTTTTTGTGCAGCCTAAAATCCTTTCCATTAACTCTAGCTTCAGTTCCAGAACAGCACGGTGCAATACAGTAGCCCCTGGCCACATGTGGCTACTCCATGGAAAGGAAAAATCAAAACTCTAGTCCCTCAGTTGCCCTGGCCACAGTGCAACTGCTCAATGGCCACATGTGACTGGTAGCTAACTAGTTGGGTAGCACAGACATAGAACATTCTTAGCATCGTAGGGAGTTTTATCGGATAGCTCTACTCTAGAGCAAAACTGTCAGTCTGGGGGTGTTGCTAGCCCCATTTTATTTTATTTTATTATTATTATTTTTTGAGACAGAGTCTCGCTTTCTTGCCTAGGCTAGAGTGAGTGCCGTGGCGTCAGCCTAGCTCACAGCAACCTCAAACTCCTGGGCTCAAGCGATCCTCCTCCCTCAGCCTCCCGAGTAGCTGGGACTACAGGCACGAGCCACCATGCCCGGCTGATTTTTATATTATATATTATTAGTTGGCCAATTAATTTCTTTCTATTTTTATGGTAGAGACGGGGTCTCGCTCAGGCTGGTTTTGAACTCCTGACCTTGAGCAATCTGCCCACCTCGGCCTCCCAGAGTGCTAGGATTACAGGCGTGAGCCACCACGCCCGGCCTCTTTTCTGTTTTTTTGAAATGTAATGTGAAGGCTGCAACGTAAGCATGGACAGAATGCTGCAGATTCATGCAACTTACAGGTGTAAATTCTTTTGTGCCTGTGCATCAAGTTTAATGTCTGCCTGGCAGAATTTGGCCTGAGACATTTCATCAGAACCTGGTAGCCAGATAGAGGAGGTGGTATCTATGTGGCCCCCTTGAGTTTTCAAGGAGTAACTGCTAGGTCCCAGAACTCAAAAGTTGTATCAGACGTGCTTTGAGTACAAGAAGTGGGGCTTACCTGTGTCTATTGACATTGAAAGATTGCATGGTCTGAAATTCCATTTTATAACCTGGCCGAGGCTTGGGGGCTGCCTCTGGCTGAGTTCTAGTCACAATTCTACCTGCTTGGGGACAGGTAGTGATAGCCCCCCCCCTCCCCTGCTCAAAAGCTGACACTGCAGGAAGGAGACGCCTCAACGAAACCACAGTCAGCCGGGACAATCGGTGAAAGCCTCAATTTAATTGGAGACAAGATGGAAGGATCATCGATCAACAGACCGAATTATTGATCGCCAAAGTGGACAACACACAAGCAGCTCACAGGGTCCTGCACCCACCCTGGGGAGAGGAGCCCTGATTGGGGGTGGGGTCCATCTCACCAGTCACCCCCTGGCTCCTGGGGAAGGGGGAGGTGGCAGGCTCTGCCCAGCCCTCGCCCCCTGTGATGACACGACTTCCCATAAAAACAGCAGCGGTAGTGAGTCCACCCGTCCCCGGGACTATGGTACAATTTGTATAATACAGCAGGAGCCGAGTCTCTCTTTCCAGAGACCCCCTCCCTACCTTCCTGACGGGGTTAGCCAGGGAAGGGCAAATTTATTTTCCCTTTTTGCCTCTGTAGAATAATTTACAAACCAACCTTACAGTTATGTACAAAAAAGAAAAAAGAAACAAAAAAGAAAAAGTACGAACGAAAAGAAAACAAAGAAAAAGCCCACTCCGGTTGCCGGCTGGGACAGAAACTACTTTCGCTACAAAAATGAACCCTGTACAGCATTGTGGGGGGGGGCAGTGGGGGTTTCTCCCCACTGGAGGAGGAGGACAGACAGATGGAAGGCTAGGGAGAAATTGGGGGCTACAGTACCGTGTGCTCAGATTGGGTGGGGGCAGGCAATGAACCAGATAGCCCCTGCTCTGCCTGGTGGCAGAACCAGGCCTAGAGGTGTGGGGCTGGGGGCTGGGGGCTGGGGAGGGGATCTTTCCTTCCAAACGGTCCCCCATGGCTTGGAGAAAAATGGCCTTGCATCTATCTGTTGTATTGCTCAGGGGCTACCGGAGGGGTGGAGGGGGGCAGGGAGAGGATCGGCAAGGCAAGGTCGGGCCATTACTTTGGTGGCAGGGTGGGAAGGGTTGCCCAGGATGGGGGATGAGGGTATACACCATTATTGCTTCCTCCTAGGGCAAAGGGTCAGGGGCCATGGTCAGAGTCTGGAAGGGAGTAAAGAGGATGCTGGGAAAGAGGGGGACAGCCAGGATGGGGGCTCGGGGCCTGCACCCAAGGTGCAGGTGGGAGCCACTGCAACCCCCTTCTCCTATGGCCATGGAAGTCATTAAGGCAGAAACAAGAGGACAAGCAGCTGGAAGGGGGGAGGGGTGTGTGTGCGGATCAGAACCGCCTCCCCCCCAAAAACGGAGAAAATTCAAAGTGAACCCAAAGTAGGAGGGGAAAGGGGTGCAAGCAGGGGGGGTCAGGCCGAAGATCCTTCTGAAGACGCCACCCCCTGCATCCTAAAGTGAACAGCTCCCCCGGCTCACTGACCCCCTAGTCAGTATTGCCAGGATTGTGCAAAATGAGGCGGAAGACTTTTGTTGGGGGGATGGGGGACAAGGAGCCAGGGAGGGGCTGGAGCTGGGGCCTCCCAGAGTGAAACCTGCCCCCACCACCATCCAGCCCTGCCCAGAATGGCTTTTCCTGGCTGGCTTCGAGAGACCCTCCAAAATTCAGAAGAAAAGCCTAGAATGAGGTGCCACAGCCTGTTGGGCCCAGGTGCAGAGGTCTAAGAGGCCCGGAAGACTCAGCCTTGAACTTGGGGGACGGATGGGGATGGGGGTGGGAAGATAAGAGGTGAGGGGTTTGGAGGTGGAAAAGGAGAACCAGGAACAGGAGCGTCTACAGTTGCTGTGTTGCATCCTTTTTTTTTTTCTTTTTTTTTTTTGTTCTTTTTCTAAAAATGTTACAATTAAAATTCAAAAAATAAAATCCCTTCCGGGACCTCAGCCCCTCGTTCCCCAGCCCCCACCTCCAAAAAAGGGCCCCATGGGTGGGGGCGGGGGGAAAGGGGAAAAAAAGAAAAGAGAAAAAACCCCACTTTTCTGTTTTCTTTTTTCTCAGGAGGGCCGAGTGTCTTTGAGGCAGCGGAGGAGGAGGTGGTCGTGGGGGCAGGTGGGGACAGGGGAGCAGGGAGGGCCACAGGGAGCAGGGGCTAGGGCTCAGGTGGGGTCTCCGCCCGAGTCCCAGCCGCCAGGAGCTGGGAGTGTCAGGGGGTCCTCCCCAGACGTCCCTGTGCAGGCACTGCAAGCCCTCCTGGCAGCCTGATGCTCTCTTTGGGCCCCCACCTCGGCCGCCGTGGAGGGGAGGCCCGGGAGGCCCGGGGCCTCCTCTGAAATGGACGGGGTCCTCAAGGCAGGCGGAAGGGGGCTTCCAAGACACAGGGCGGGGGGGCTGCTGCCGCTTACGGCATCTGCCGATCCCTCCTGGCACGTGGGCTCCTCCAGGGCTGCAGGCGCCCGGCCTTGTGAGTGTGGCTGCTCCATCACGTACACCTCCTCTACCTCGATCTCCGGCGACACGTCCTGTTCCTCTGCCGAGAATGCAGGCTGCACTGTGGTCTCATCTGCAGCCGGGGATCCTTCCTCGGTGGTGGGCCATCCCTGGCCTTCTATCCCATCCTGAGCCGGGGACGGTATCTGGGCTGCAGATGTTTCCTCCTCCTCTTCCTCCTCCAGCGTCAGCTCAAACTGGAACTTGTCAGGCGGGGGTGGGTGGCCTGGCCCCCCTGGCTCCTCCTCTGGTGGTGGGGATGGGCTCTGCCGGATGGCACTGTAGTACCAGTCCCGGTTGTCCTCCAACGTGTCCAGGATCTCCTGGGCATCCGGGTGCACGAGGTCCGCCCATGTCTCCCACAACGGGTGCACGATGTAGTCGATGAAACCCACCTGGGGGAGGGGGGAGGCGGTATAAACAGCTGGCCCCTGGGGCAGATGGCACCACTGTGTTGTGGGGAGTATTAAAATGAAAAGCATGCTTGTACCACTTGACACAGCTATTTTGCGACTCCCTGGAATAATCTGTGCCAGAAAAAAAGTCATATATGAGATGTAAACAAAAACTGGAAACACCTCCATATAGACAGCCATTGAGGATTAGTTAAAAAACAAAAACCAGCCTGGGCAACATAGCAAGACTCTTGTCTCTAGAAAAATTAAAACAAAAATTAGCCGGGCATGGTAGCTCACACTTGTTGTCCCAGCTACTCAAGAGGCTGAGGCAGGAGGATCGCTTGAGCCCAGGAGTTCGAGGCTGCAGTGAGCTATGATCACACCACTTGCACTCCAGCCTGGGTGACAGAATGAGACCCTGTCTCTTAAAAAAGAAAAACCATGGTACATCACAGATATTCATTATGGTATTTTTTGCAAGAAAGGGACACTAGAAATAACTTCATGGGCTACTGCTGCTCAGATGCCACTGCTTCTGCTTAGTGACAGCACCTTGATTTTTCTTGTGGGAGGAAGTGGATCCAGCTAAAACCTACATTTCCCAGGATCCTTTGCAAAGGGATGGTGGCCATGTGACCACCTGTAGATGGAAGATGCTGGGGGCTGCCTCTGCTGGCAGAGGCGTTTCCCCACTGGAATGTAGCCAGAATGGCTGGAGCTTTGACAACATCTGTGACCACAAGAGGCCTTCCTGAGGATGAAAGCCCCAGGCCTAGAAGGACAGACACGTCGAACCAAGAAGGCTGGGTTTCTTCAGGCAGGACAGAAAATGGAGAGGGGTGAGAAAGTCTCATGTCACACTTTAGGGCTTTCAGAGCCTGTACCTGAGACTTCTCCACGGAGGCCGTGTGCTTGTCGCACATGGGGCTGATCTCCATGCCACGTTCACGCTCACGGTCGCCCTGCTGGAAGAACTCGGCCATGATGCGGTCTGTCCACTGGCGGTACAGCTCCAGTGGCTTGGTGGGGTTGCTGAGGTCCGCGCAGTGCACCATGTTCCGAAGGACCTGCATGGGGTGGGGGGACGGGTGGAGGACCTTCAGAGGCTGTGCCTTGGTGCAGTCTGGAACCCCAGGCTTATCTCCCACCTGGAAAGGGGGTCGGGGCGTGGGGAGAAGAGGGAGGAGAGGAGGTGGGCAGAGATGTAGAGAGGTGGGGACGATGTGGGGGGAGATGGAGAGAAGGGTCCAGTTTCCTTATATGGTGGTGGTGGGGGCACCTGGATGCGGTCGGAGTAGTTGTCCAGCAGGAGGACCCCCGAGCTGGTCACTTTCTTGGTCTCCACCATGGTCTTCAGGTCAGCCAGGAGGGTCATGTGCTTGGACATGTCTGTGGCCAGCACCTGTGGGCAAGGGGGCGTCAGAGGGGCCACTGAAGCCCACCCACCGGACCAACCAGGTTTCAGAGGGTTCCTTTGGGACTCAGAGCTGTCCCTCCCCAAAGCCCAGGACTTCCTTTTTCACTCTGTCCCTGTCCCCACTCCTGCCATGCCCACCATGTCGATGACCATCTTTCGCAGGCTCTGCCGCTGGCGCTTGGTGAGGTTCTGGAAGATGTCGCAGTTGTCCTCCTGCAGCAGCTTGAAGCCCACGGCCAGGTGGTGATTCTCAAGCACCGACTCATCGTTGTACATGAGCGCCAGCTCCGAGTCTGCGGCCCAGGCCTGGCAGTCAGGGGAAGGCCCACGTGGGCAGCTCCGCCCCAAGCTTGGCAGGCCCCGCCCCGCCCCTGCCCCAACCCAACCCAGTCTGGCAGGCCCCGCCCCTGCCCCAAAACAACCCAGCCAATCCTACCCCCAGCCTAGCAGGCCCTGCCCCTGCTCCAACCCAACCCAGCGGATCCCGCCCCCAGGCTGGCAGGCCCCGCCCCTGCCCCAACCCAACCCAGTCTGGCAGGCCCCGCCCCTGCCCCAACCCAACCAGGCCAATCCTACCCCCAGCCTAGCAGGCCCCGCCCCTGCTCCAACCCAACCCAGCGGATCCCGCCCCCAGCCTGGCAGGCCCCGCCCCTGCCCCAACCCAACCCGGCCGATCCCGCCCCCAGCCTGGCAGGCCCCGCCCCCGGGGACGACCACTCACTGGTGTTGATGAGGAACTGGTTGGAGACCCCAGGGTGATCCACGTCGTGAATGGCAGCCGCGAACAGGGCGGCAAGAATCTCTAGGTCCGTAAACACGGCCTAGGAGCAGAGACAGACGTTAGAAAGATGGGCATGAGACAGGGCAAAAGAGGGGTGAGGAGGACAGAGTAAGATTGGGGTAGGAGGGTGTCAAGAAAGACAGGAGTTCCAGCCTGGGCAACATGGTGAGACCTCGTCTCTACCCAAAACAAGAAAAATTAGCTGGGTGCCTGTTGTCCCAGCTACTCAGGAGGCTGAGGCAGGGAGATGGCTTGAGCCCAGGAGTTGGAGGCTGCAGTGAGCTGTGATGACACCACTGCACTCCAGCCTGGGCGACAGAGTAGGACCTTGTCTCAAAAAATAAACAAGGCTGGGCGTGGTGGCTCATGCCTGTAATCCTAGCACTCTGGGAGGCCGAGGTGGGCAGATTGCTGGAGATCAGGAGTTCGAAACCAGCCTGAGCAAGAGCGAGACCCCGTCTCTACTATAAATAGAAAGAAATTAATTGGCCAACTAATATATATATATATATATTATATATATATTATATATCAAATTAGCCGGGCATGGTGGCGCATGCCTGTAGTCCCAGCTACTTGGGGGCTGAGGCAGGAGGATCGCTTGAGCCGAGTCTGAGGTTGCTGTGAGCTAGGCTGACACCACGGCACTCACTCTAGCCTGGGCAACAAAGCGAGACTCTGTCTCAAAAAAAAAAAAAATTATAAAAAATAAACAAAAATCCCAGGACTGAATCTAAGGGAAAATAGAAAAAGAAAACCAAACAAATAAAAAGCTCCAAACAAACAAATTAGGAGTCTGGAGAGAGAGAGAGAGATGAGGAATAAAGAATGGGGTCACAGAGAAACGGAGGACACAGGACCAGAGAGGTAAGCAGGACATTGGAGATGGGCAGTTAGTGACACAAGGAGAGCCGGGGTTCGGGGAGACAGGGCAGGGGCGGGCGCTCACATCCAGCGCGGGCGTGGCCAGCAGCACGTGGGTGGACTGCAGCACGTCCGCGGCGTGCAGGCTGTTGTGGTAGGCCACGTCGCCGTGGTAGTGGTCCTCCAGCGTCAGCATGTATGTCACCATCGTGTCCACAGGGATGCGGAACTTCTTCAGCAGGTCCCGCTCCTGAGGGCCAGCAGGGGCAGGGTAGTGACCCCCGCCACCCCTTAGTGCCACCCCCCGCCCTGTGCCGTGCACACCCCGGCCCATCCCCCACTGCCCGCATCACCTGGAATATCGTGTACATGACGCAACTTAGGGAGCGACCTCCCGCATAGTCCGACACGCAAAAGATGTTGAGGCCCCACTTGTTCAGGTTCTCCAGCTCCTGGGGACACGAAAGGCCAGAGGTCAGGAGCCTGCATGGCCCAGGGCCCTTCGAAAACATTCCGTAGAACTTTGGAGCCCTGATCTGAAGGGAGTGCCATTACTGCTCACTCAGTGGGTGATATGCTCAACAGCACAGCTCTGACCAGACCTATGTCACTGGCCTGTGCACCCATCCCCCAGTGACTGGGATGTTGTCTGCAAGGTTCATGGCTACCCTTTTCTCCAGAAAATTCTTGTCCCCATGGGAGCTGCCGGAAGGGGTGATGCTGCCCACCTCTGGGGGCAGCCCCCTGACAATCGCTGATATGGGGACTCCAGCTGAGACTCCTTCCTTACTTGGTTTCATTTTTTCTTTCCTTTTTAAAGAGACAAGGCCTTGCTCTGTCACTCAGGCTAGAGTGTGGTGGTGCAATCATAGCTCACTGCAGCTTTCAACTCCTGAGCTCAAGCAATCCTCCTGCCTCAGCCTCCCAAGTAAGCTGGGACTATGGCACTATCACACCCAGGTAATTTTCTATTTTTCTATTTTTAAATTTTCTATTTTTTGTAGAGACAGGGTCTGGCTATGTTGCCCAGGCTGGTCTTGAACTCCTGGCCTCAAGCAATCTCCCACCTCGGCCTCCCAAAGTGCTGGGATTACAGGCGTGAGCCACTGCGCCTGGTCTGAGCTTCCTTCCATTCTTCCTGAAGCCCCTCTCCATAAAGCAGGTATCCCCACAAATCCTCATCTCAGCCTCTGCTTCCAGGGAACCTGGCTTAACACAAGACCCAACATCCAGTCCCCCTTTGGGTCCCAGGGGACCCCTGCCCCACTCCAGCCCAGCCCCTGCCTCTCTCCCACACACTTGTGCCAGGAGCTCCTCTTGGTCTGTCTTCACCCCGAAGCGGGGGATGCTAGAGTTGTTCAGGCTGCTGTGCGTCGACTTTTTCACCCCTGTGATCTGAGACATGGGCTGGAGGTGCGGCACAGGGGGCGGGGGCTGCTGGGAGGGTCTCTGCCGCGGTGCTTGCTGTTTTTCTCGCTCCTTCATTGTGGGTGATGGGATCTCTACTTCATTCTGTTTGTCTGCAGAAGGTGGGGGCAAAAGCATTGAGCACCCCCTGACTGACCTCCACCAGCCCCAGGGGCTCCCCTTATCCCTCTAGCCCTCTGCCATGTGCTGGGAAGCCTCACCCGAAAGGACAGACGCCTTCTGGGTGTCACGCTGATGGCTACTCAAAGGCTGGAAGCCAGAGGGGACATAGGAATTCTTCCGGGAGGTGGCAGGCTGGAATGGGGACCCTGGAGCGGGCCCAGGGCTGTGGAATGTCCCCAATCCCATCACCAGGTTTGACCGGAGGGTAGCAGGGGAAGTCAGGAAGTGGGGTGGGGAGGCCGGGGAAAGCCGCTGCCTGCCTGGGACACCCAGGGGACGGTCTAGGGTGGGGAAGACATCCCCATGGTGGCCAAGACTGCTGGTTGGGGGGGGCCTTGCTGAGGTGAGAGCGGGAACCGTGGTCTCTGGCTCCATGCCCCCCTCCCTGGCACCACCTTGCCTGGGGCCCAGCCCCAGGCACACTTTTCCTGACCTTTCAGGGGCTTCCAGAGCCCTCCAAGGCCACCCATTGTGACCTGGGGCTGCCAGTCAGTGATGGGGCCTACTAGGGTTATTTGCATGCCACGCTCCCATTGGCCGGATCCTCAGAATTCTGAGACATATCACGCCCTCATTGGTAGGAGCGTTCAAAACCCTGAATACATTTCTGGAGCTTGTGTGGGCGCCTCCTGAATTGGGGCACCTTTGAGTTTTGGATGGTAAATCATGAGTTTGGGTTTTGGCAGTAAATTGTGAGGATCAAATTTTCCTGAGTTTAGGGGGATATCCTTAAGCTTGGGGGACCTTGGATTAGAGGTTAGGATGACTTTGAGGTGCCCATGAGTTTAAGGGTTCCAATGAATTTGAGATAGTCTACTCTATTTGGGGTTCCATTGAGTTAGGAAATTCTCCTAAATTTAGGGAATCTCTTACAGGTGCTTAAGCTTGAGAATCCTATTTAGTTAGGGAATCTAAAGTTTTGAGAGTCTACTGAATTTGGTGGGGGGTTCATATTAAGTTTGGGAATTCTATTGAATTTCAGGGGCTTTTCAGCTTGGAAGTTGGCTAAAGTTTGGGGATCTTTTGTGGGCTTTGAAGTACAGAGCTTCTCTTAAATTTAAGGACCCTACTGAGTTTGGGCATCTCTCTTGATTTTGGGGGAGTTTTCCTGAGTTCGGGGAGTCTAATCTAAGTTTGTTGATTCTACTGAATTTGTTGTTCTACTGAGTTCAGGAGGCTTTTCAGCTAGGAGCTATTTTTGGTTTTGTTTTTTTGTTTTTTCTTTTTGATACAGGTCTCGCTCTGTTACCCAGGCTAGAGTGCAATGGCATAGCTCACTTCAGCCTCAGGTCCTGGGCTCAAATGATCCTTTTGCCTCAGCCTCCTGAGTAGCTGGGACTACAGGCATGCACCACCATGCCTGGCTAACGTTGTTAATTTTTTGTAGAGATGGGGTCTCGCTATGTTGCCCAGACTGGTCTCAAACTCCTGGCCTCAAGTGATCCTCCTGCCTCAGCACCCCAAAGAGCTAGGATTATAGGCATGAGCCACTGAGCCAAGCCTCAGCTGGGAGGCTTTTAAAAGTTTAAGAATTCTATTTGAGTTTGGAGGTCTCTTGGGGTCTTAAGTTTGAGAGATCCATTGGAGTTCCAGTGAGTTTTCAGGGGGTTTTAAGCTCATAGATGTTTTCAAATGTGGGGTTCTATAGAAGTTGGGGTCCCACTGAGTTTGGGGGCTTCCCAAGTATGGGAGTTCTTGAGTGTAGTTACTTTAATCTTTGGGGATTTAAGAGTCTGGGTCTCTAGGAAAATATGGGGCAGCCTCCTCCAGCCCCCCCACTCCATGTGCCACCCCTTACTCACCCAGGAATGTTGTGGAAATGTACTCTGACACCTGGTTTCCTGACCTGCTCATTTCTGACAGGTGTGTGAGTTCACGGTTCAGCATCCTCTTGAACTAAGGTGAAGGAGTCAAGAAGGAAGGGATGACGGGGGAATCACAGAAGGTGTGGGGGGGTGTCAGTACCTCCCAAAACACTCCTGAAGACCCCATGGGTCCCTCCTAGTTCTCTGCTCAGCCAGCAGAGCCCTTACCAGGCCACTAGAGGGGAGGGTCAGCCCTCCCTCCCCTCCCATTTCCGGATGGGGGTCCCCAGGCTTGGGGGGATTCTGGATCAGCACACCCCTCCCTGCTTGAGGAAAGAGGGGCTCCCCTCCCATTCAACCAAGAAGGAGCCAGAGGGGCACCTGTGGAAGGGAGGGGCTCCTGCCTAACAGGGAGCCAATGAAGTAGCAGGAGAATCCCGTCGCCATGGCGATGGGAGTCTCCTTAGCAACTCCCCCTCCAACCAGCTGCTGAGCTAGGGGAAAGGGGGGCAGGCCGGCAGCCCCTTAACCCTTGCTTTCCCAGAGCTACCACTGGCCCATGTCATGCCAGATGTGGTCCGCAATCCTGGGGGTCCTGACTCCATGCCCCAGCCCAGTTTGGAAGAAGAGAACACAGTACTCAAGCTCTGGGGGAAGAAGAGGTTTGGCCTGGGCAGAGGAGAATGGTGAGATGAGGAAACCCCAGTCTGTTCGCCCAGGGGCTGGGGAAGGGGGGGTTCCCATAATAGCCCCCTCTCCCCCAACCCCAGGGAGGTGAATGGACACACAGATGAATGGCGTATACCCCATATTGGGCTTGAGGGCCACTCCTGGGCCACCCCATGTCACTTGTCACAGGCCTCTGCTGTGACATTGTGCCTGGAGGAAAAAGGGCATCAGCTCCCCACCCCCAAGCTCTGCCAAGGCACCCCCAAAGCAGGAGCAGACTGTGTCAGGGACGCTGGGCAGGAAGGGTGAGCCTGTAAGGCCCATGCTGGGATGGGCACCCACTACTCTGTCGGAGACCCTGGGCACACAGAAAGACACACACACACACACACACACACACGGACCCACAACGTCTCACACAACTGCACAGAGCCCCAGGCTCCCAGTCCCCTACAGCGTCGCACAGCCCAGACACACAAATCAGAGGGCACACAGCAAGGCAACCGGTGACATTCGGGGTCACATGCCCCAGAAACATCAGGCAGCTCCGGGCTCGCAGACACGGCCCAACACACACCACCACACTCAGAACCATATGATCTCAGACACAGGGCCACGCCATGACCCAGGCCAACACGCATATGGTCAGGTGGACACACACCATCGCAGACACAACACACATCCAGGCACTGACACAGTCACACCCATCAGGAGACCCAACACACCCCCCCAGAGAGTCACACACCCCCAACTACCCGCCATCCACGCCCAGCCCTGGGCCACACACAGTGACAGTCACAGGCTTCATCTCCAGGCCACTCACGTGCACAGCTGGACACACAAGCCCACATCAGGAGCTAGCAGGTCTGGCCCCGCTGGCCTGGGGCTCCTGCCCACCCTCCACCCTGCGCCCCCCTACCTGGTCCCACCAGCCCACCAGCCACGGCTTGGAGCAGGTCTCGCAGAAGAAATCCACCAAGGGCATCTTGGAGCCTTAGCCCCCCTCGGGGCTGCCGGACGCAGAGGCTGGGCTTGGGGAGGCCCGGGGTTAACAGCCACCGGGGGGAGGGGGATGCTGGGTGGGTGGGTAGAGAAGGGGGAGCCGCGGAGGGGCCTGGGCCGGCCCAGCAGGGCTGGGGGCTCCCTTCCCCTCCGCGCTCCCGGTGGCAGCCCTGGTTACATGGTCTGCCAGCCCCCAGCCCTGATGGGCCCCCCGGAGGCAGTGGCTGGAGGCGGTGGGGGGCCCCTGCCCATGGAGGGGGACAGGGCAAGGGTCCCAAGAGGAGGCTGCGGAGGCTCGGGGCTCCGTGTGTGTGTCCGTGTGTGTGCGTGTGCGTGCTCACTGCAGCACTGGCAGGCTGCATGCGACGTCAGGTGGTGCTGGGGGGGGCGTTAAAGGGGCATCAGAGCCCACGGGCCTCAGCCAGAACCCTGGGGGGGGGGCTGCCCCTGTGAGGACACGTCCCCTCCATGAACACACCCAGCCACTCCATACGCTCACAGACACAACAGACATCCTGAGATGTTCCACAGACACGGACACACAACCAGACACTTGACACTCAAAAGCACAATCGAACACACACAGATACCCAAATGCTTTTAGTCCCACACTTACATCATGCACACGCGCACACACACACACACACACCTGCATGCAGTGACACAAATGCCTTTAGACTTGCCCCTTCCAAGGACATAGACCCACACCCGGCACACACCTAGGGACAAACACCTAAGATTCCAGCCACACTTACAGATACACACTCAACACACCCACAGACACACTTTCAAGCCAACACAAATATCCTTATGCCCTTGGACACAGACATACCCCGACATCCATAAGGGAATACTCACACTCACAAATGCACACACACACACACCATTGCAGAAATACCTGCAGACCCCCATACCCAGAGACACAGTCAGAATTTCAGATTCTTGACCCATCCTTGGGGACACAGTCGTTTTTGGACTTGCATGTTCCCAAACAAGCCTTCACCACCCACTGACATATGTACCCCCCAACACAGACACCCCCACTTGCAAATTATTTCCTGATAGGCACCCACCCACAAGGGCTGCCACCACGCTGCACAACTCCAGGAGGCATCATTCATACTGCCTACTTTCTGAATGGTGTCCCTGGAGTTGTGCAGTGCATAGTCTACACAACTGTACATGGAAGGCTTGTAGCCTCTCCTGCAGCCCCGCAAACACACACACAGCCATAAAGACACTGAGATACACACTCAGATTCCGACCTGGCCCAACCCACACCTGCAGACACAGCTCATACAGTTAACCCTGCATAATCATACCCCTGCATAATCAGCTGTGGACACGCCCCCCCATACACACACACAGGTACACACCTGTGTGCCACTCCTCAGAGTCGGCTCGGAACACACCAGTGCTGCAAATAGGTAGCTGCCAAATCAACAGCTACACAGACCCATAGCCACAGATGCACACCCACAGATTGCAAAAGCATACAACCTCCTGGGGATAGACGGTGGTCACCTACTGACATACCTACAACCAGAAGCACACACCCACACACACACACCGGGCTCCTCCATCCCTGGGGAAAGTCAGAACACACAGGAGCTACAAATCTTGAAACTGCCACCCAAGGGTAGGGTTGGGACCGTCCAGGGAATGGCCTCATCCCATTGGCCCTACCCAGTGATTGGCCCCGCCCCACCAGCCACGCCCAATGGTTATTCCCACCCACAGGTCCCACCAAGCAGTTGGCTCCACCCACCCGCCACACCCAACGGGCTCCGCCCCCACCAGCCCTGCCCAGGGGTCTGCCCTGCGCCACCTGCACACCTTGTGGGAGGCCATCTCGCTGACAGAGCGGTAGGTCTGCATGGTCTCCAGCTGCTCCAGACACCAGTCCAGCTCCTCCAACGTCTCTCGGGCCAACTGCTGACACGTCTCCTCTGGGGAAGGGGCGGCCGGGGTGGTGACTGAGAAGGTCTACAGGCAGACCCCAGAGCCCCCAGCCTGTGGTGACAGCCCACCAGGTGAGTGGAGTGCTGGGGAAGGAGCTGAGACAGCCACCGGGGGTGAGGGACACCCCCCCACTTGGGCAGCAAGAGGGGCCCTTTCCCACCCCCCAGGGCTTAGCTACCTGAGAGCGTGGCCTTGCAGACAGGGGTTGGGCCACCCAGCGGGGACCTCCTGCAAAGAAATGGGGCTCCAACGTCAGCCTGGGCACCCCTAGATCCCTCCCTCCCCCTCTCCATGAACAGTGCTAATTCTCCTTTTTCTTAGTGCTCACTGTTGTCCCAGGCATGGTGCCATGTCCTCTGCCTGCAGCCTCTCAATGACCCCCAGCAGATCCCATTTTACAGATGAGGAAATTGAGGCTGATCTGAATTATGGTCAGGTCTCTGCTCCCTTGACTGTAACCTCAAATTCCTCCAAGCCTCTAAGCATGGCTCTGTCCCTCACCCCCAGAGGGACTGGCAGCTCTCAGCCACAGTCCCTAAATTATTTATTTATTATCTTTCCCTAAAATAATAAGAACCACTCCTATCTACTGAGCACTTATTATGTGCAAGGCAGCATTCTAGCATTTGCTGTATACCATCTCCTGGACTCCTCTAGCAGTTATCTAAGGGGGGCATTATTTTAATTCTGCCTTTACAGAAGGGGAACAGAAGCACCACAGGATGTCATTTGCCCAGCAAATTGGTGTCGGGGCCCTGAGTGGCCCAGGGATTGGGGCTGTGGCCCAATCAGCACTGTGCATCTGGACTCCTACGTCTTTATTGATAAAAAGCTTCTGGTCTTAGGCCCTTGAGCCACAATGGCTCTCTGGCTCCGAAGGATTTGTTGGCCAAATAGAAGTTCAGAGAGGTCAAGAGCCTGCCCAAGGTCACTCAGTGTGGCTTAGAGTTGGGCCCAGGTGTGCTCGGCCTCATGCTCATGGGGGTTGGGGCCCAGCCTCAACTTACTTGTTGCTGGGAATGGGCACATTGGTCAGGAGGGAGAAGTTGCTGCGGACGCTCCGGAGACTGGCCAGCACCTGGGGAGGACAGGAGCAGGGAGTGTCTGCCCAGAGCGGCAGCGGGGCTGGGCCTGTCCCCGAGTGGAGGGAAGGGTTGGAGCCCCTTCCGTCCTCAACCATCTGGGGAAGGGGGTCTCACCTGGGCAAACGGCGTTACGATGAGGTCCTCGGCGTGCCTGCAACCGAGCACAGTGGCAAGTGAGGGGTCCCCAGAGAAGCGGCTCTGTGAGGGCTGGACCCAGGGAGGGGACACTGTGGGGCTGGGGGAGAGGGCACTGATCCCGAATAAGGGTGGATGTGCTTCCAGAGCTGGCCAAGGAGGGAGGGTGGCTGGGGTGGGTGGGGGGAGCAAGAGGACAGGAAAGCGGCTTAGGGGGCTGAGGTGGGCACCTGGCTGGGTGGGGGCGGAGCCTGGGAGCCGCACTAAGAGCGGAGGAGGGTGAGCAGGTAATTTAGGGAGCTCTCACACCTCACAGGCGGCCATGGGGGACTGGGGGGCGGGCTGGAGGGGGGGCTTGCTCACGCCTCGCTGGTGACTGATGAGTTCCGGGACATAGTCTTGGGTGACATGTCATAGTCGCTGTCGGAGCGGTACAGGAAGGACTCCCGACGCTGGCTGGTGGCCGCCCCGGCGTGCAGCACGAGCCCCGGGCTCGCCTGCGAGTCCATGGGGCTGCGGCCCGGAGACGGCGTCGGCCCATTCTCCGCCTCGAAGCTGCAAGAGTGGGGTGGGAAAAAGGGTCAGGGGGTGCTGACACGGTTTCAGGGAAGCCAGGAAGTTTCTGGCAGAGATTGGGGGGCAGATGGAGGATGTTAAGGAGAGGCAGACACCCCCAAAGACATGGGAGGGCATTGCAGAGATCAAACACCTGCTGAGGACCGATGTGCATCAGTCCTCGTTGCTGGCTCTGGGGGACCCCCCTAAGGCCAAAAGTTGTGGGCTCATCCAGTCTCCTTTGCACCTCGAATCATCCTCGCCACCCAAATCCACCCAGAATCTGTCCATTTCTCACCCCCTTCTTCGTTCCCCAGTCTATTCCCTCCATGGCCACCAGAGGGGGCTTGTGTCCGACTGAGTGATGTCAAGTCTCTGCTCAAAACAGTCTATGGCTCACACTTTGCTCAGAGCAAGAACCACAGTCCCCACTGCAGTACCTAAGTCTTGCCCCGTGACCTCCCCATCTCCCCTCCCATTCACTCTACTCCAGGCTCTTTGCTGTTCCCTAAACATTGTGTATGTGGTCCTGCCTCAGGGCCTTTGCACGGGCTGTTTCTCCTGCCCAGATGTCCAATGGCTCCTCCTTCGCCTCTTTCAGTTCTTAGCGAAAATGTCACCTCCTCAGAGAAGCCTTCCCTGCCCAACTCATCTAAAATTTCAGCCTCTGCCCTGATGTTTCCTATTTCCCTTCCTTAAAAAAAAAAATTAAAAAATAAAAAGGCCAAGCATGATGACTCAGGCCTGTAATCCTAGCACTCAGTGAGGATGAGGCAGGAAGATCGCTTGAGGCCAGGAGTTCAAGACCAGACTGAGCAAGAGTGAGACCCCGTCTCTACTAAAAACAGAAAAATTAGCGGGGAACAATGGCATGCCTGTAGTCCCAGCTACTCAGGAGGCTGAGGCAGGAGGATTGCTTGAGCCCAATAGTTTGAGGTTGCTGTGAGCTGTGATGATGGTGATGATGCCACTGCATTCTACCCAGGGTGACAGAGCAAGACTGCCTCAAAAAAGAAAACAAAAAACAAAACAAAACAAAAAACCTCAAAACCCCAAAATCATCCTACTTAAGTGACATAATCTATATTTTATTTATCTTTACTATTTAACTTCCCTTCTGTAGGGAAGCTTACTTCTGCAAGCTCTGTAGGACAGAGATTTTTGTCCACTTTGCTTACTGCTGTGTCCCTGGGACCAAGAACGTGGCCTGGCACACAATGGACACCCAAAGAATCATTAAACATATGAATGAATGAATGAATGAATGAATGAATGAATAAATGAACTGGATTGTGCTATGCCATGGTCGGGGCAGACCTCTATGAAGAGGTGACATGTCAGCAGGTCCTGAAGGATGAGAAGGAGCCAGCCACGAGTCAGGAGGTAGCAGAAAGCACTCCAGGCAGAGGGAACAGCAAGTGCAAAGGCCCTGGGGCAGGATTTGATTTTTCTGCTGTGGCTGGAGCGGAGATACAGACAAGGACGGTGACAAGGTCACAGCTACAGAGAGGATAGAAATCGTCCGTTTCCATTTGTTTGTCTCCTTATTATTAAGATTTAAGGGTTCATAATATATTCTAGATACAAGTCCTTTTTTCTCCCAGTCTGGAACTTGGCAGTGTCTTTTGCAGAGCAGATTTTCACAGTGACTTATTTGGGGTGGGAATTGTTTGTTTGGTTTTTATAAATAAGGTCTCACTTTGTCACCCAGGCTGGAGTGCAGTGGCACAATGATAGCTCACTGCAGCCTTGAACTCCTGGGCTCAAGTGACAGTCCTCCTGCCTCAGCCTCCCGACTACCTGGGACTACAGGCACAGATCATCACACTTGGCTAATTTTTTTCTATATATTTTCATGTTGTCCAGCTAATTTCTTTCTATTTTTTAGTAGAGATGGGGAGGTCTCACTCTTGCTCAGGCTGGTCTCGAACTCCTGAGCTCAAAGGATCCACCCACCTTGGCCTCCCAGAGTGCTGGGATTACAGGCGTGAGCCACCACGCCTGGCCCGACTCTGTTTCTATGTTGGCTGTCTGGCCCTGGGCACATTTGCTCTCACTGATGGAAGAAGACTCTCTAATGAGGGTCGAGTAGGCAGAGGGCAACTTGGTCAACGTTTTGGTCAGAGGAGTCAAAAGATCTGGGTTCAAATTCTGATCTTAGTGTGTGACCAAGAGCTAATCACTCTCCAATCTGAGCCTGGCTGGTTCACCTGCAACATTAAGGCAATGAAGTCTTCCTGATTCCCCAGATTGGCCCAGAAAAAAGATTCAATATATAGAAACTGGGATTGCTGTCTTGGTCTAGGAGAATTCAAATTTATTTCTTAGCAGTGGGACCATTCCAATAAAATCTTGGCCCCTCGATGGGTAGGATTAGAAAGCAGAGGTTTCCTACCCTCTCTCCCTCCCTTGGCCAACCCACTCAGAGCACAGCCTGAACTCCACTGGCCAGTCTAACCCCCAAGACCATTCTACGGGAAAAGGACAGTTTTTTCTTATTTATGTACTGAGACAGGGTCTTACTCAGTTGCCCAGGCTAGAGTGCCGTGGCATCCTCATAGCTCACAGCAACCTCAAACTCCTGGGCTCAAGTGACCCTCCTACCTCAGCCTCCCAAGTAGCTGGGACTACAGCCACCATGCCCTGTTAATTTTTAAAGAGTTTGTACTTAATGCCACTGAAGTGTATACTCAAAAAACAATTAAAATGGTACATTTTATTATGTGTATTTTTCCACAATAAAAAAACTTCATATACCCAGGTGTGATGTGTGCTAAGAGAAAAAGGAAAAAAAATAAAGAAAATTAAATTAATAAATAAAAAAACCCAGAAAAATAAATAAATAAAAAACTTCATAGAGGCCGGGCGCAGTGGCTCACGCCTGTAATCCTAGCACTCTGGGAGGCCGAGGCGGGAGGATCCTTCGAGCTCAGGAGTTTGAGACTAGCCTGAGCAAGAGGGAGACCCGATCTCTACTAAAAACAGAAAGAAATTATCTGGACAACTAAAAACATATAGAAAAAATTAGCCGGGCATGGTGGCGCATGCCTGTAGTCCCAGCTACTCGGGAGGCCGAGGCAGGAGGATTGCTTGAGCCCAGGAATTTGAGGTTGCTGTGAGCTAGGCTGACGCTGGCACTGTAGCCTGGGCAACAGAGTGAGACTCTGTCTGAAAAAAAAAGGCAAATTTTACTATATGTTAGTTTTAAAAATAATTTTTTAAAAAACACTCTTGAGGTGGAATACTTACAGATCACCAGCTTGGGCCTTTGATGATAATGCTCATTTACTGAGCACCTGCTGTATACAGGTGCCACTGAGGTGCCTTACATACATTAACCCATTTATGTCTCCAACCACCTCTATGAGGCGGGTTCTGTTAATATCCCTCTTCCAGAAGGAGACTGAGTCATAGAGAAGCCACGATGGGTTGGTGGCCTCCCTGCCTGAGAACCATGGCCTGTTTTCCAAGGCCCAGCCTGGATTTTTCGGCTCCAGGGGAGGGGACAGGAACAAACCCCCATACAGAAGACCCCCTGGGCCAGGAAGCAAAGCTGCCGTTTGGGGGAGGCGAGCCCCCGGCCCCTGAGAGGGCGCCCGGCTAGCATGGCCAGCAGATCCGCCAGCCCCCGGGGACTCGGCTCACGTCAGCAGGAGCCCAGAGGCCTGGATGGGAAGAGGGACACTCTCTGGGGCCCTGCTGTTTGTGCTTCAGGAAGATGTCCCTTGGGCTCGGGGAGGGAAGATGGGAGGGGTTTGTGGTTGTACAACTGGTGCCTGGAAGTTGGGAGGGGGTGTCTCAGCCATTCCACAAAATCAGACCCCTAGACCACAGAGAGTCCCCCCTCCCTGGCCTGCCACTCTGACTGTGCATGGTAACCCCAAAGTCAGGCTAAAAGGCTGCTCTGGCGACATCCCAGTGGGAACCAAAGCCACAAACCACATCACAGCCAGCCACCCAGACACTGCATTCAAGGTGAAATGACATACCCAAGACTCCCCCTCAGGCAGGCTGACCATTTATTTGGTGCCACTTTCAAAGGAACTTGCTACCTTCGTTTCTACCTCTCTGGGGTCCCTAGGCCTGCCCACCTGGGGTCCCCAAGCATCTGGGAGTGTGCAGCCCAGGGGCGATCCAGGCCTTGGAGACTTCTGCCTCGGGGACCAATGGGAAACAAACAAGCTGGGATGTGTGGGGTGTGGGCAGGGGAGGGGACATAGTCGGTAAAGATTATAATAACAATGAATGTCGCCAACTGTGACTGAATGCCACATGCTAGGTGCTATGCTTGGACACGCATTAACGCACCATTTTTCCAGACAAAGAAATCCAAGGCTCAGAAAGGATGAAAAACTTGGTTATTAGTGCTAGACCGTGGACTTGAACTTGGGCAGCTGCACTGTCTCCCCACAAGGCAGACAAACAGGGCAGGGAGGCCTGGTGTCTTCCCCGGGATCCCTGCGCCACTCCACCTGACTCGCTCACTCGTAGGAGGTGCCAGGCAGCCTTTATGGAAAGGCCTGGCATTTGCTCTGTGAAGGTCACACGGAGGTTGAGGGCGGGCGCTGGTGTGTGTCTCCCAGGCAGGCGCGTGGTGCCAGGTGACTCGGCTGTCTGTGGGGCTGGCAGTGCAAGGAGGGCCGGCGCGTGTAAGAGTCTGGGGGAAGGGGGAGGTCTGTGTGCCCGGGGCACCTGTGTGCACGTAGGTGTCCATGTCATTGTACATCTGTGCATGTGCGTGGGAGCTGGGTGCTCGTGCCTGGGTGCATCTGAGCGTCTACCTCGGAGTGTTTCTGTGTGACCTCATGAAAGGGTGCTGCACACACGCTGTAGCTGTCTCTGACCCCCGAGTGGGTCCGAGGTGTGTTCCTGTGTGCGTCCGGCTGCAGGCGTGGGAGTCCGGCCTGCGGGAACCGGCAGGTGTATGTTTCAGTGGCGACATCTTCCTGCAGAGATCGCAGTGTAGACAAGGCTGTTCGAGAGGTGGGCCAGGGGTGCTGTGGTCTGTGTGTCACCTGTGGGTGGCCATGAGTTCCCTGCAGGGTTCTCTTGGTGCCCCCCCCCCACCGGCCGGGAGACCCACACCTTGCATAGTAAACACCAGGTGACCTGGATTGCCCTGCGCGTGGCGGTGGCCGGAGTGTGCGTGTCTGTGTTGAGGATCTGAGAATCTGGAGAGCCTAAAGGCCGCTTTATGGCCCCAGTTCTGTCCAGCTGATTCCAAACACCCTCCAGGCATCCCAGAACCTCCCCGCCCTGCCCCCACCCAGCTTGGTTTTCAGCCTGGCAGCCCCAGCCAGGGGTGTGTGTGGGGGTAGGGTTGGAGATACTCAGCAGGCCCTAGGGACTGGCTCCAGGCCAGTGGCCTGGGAGTGGAGCCCAGGTGACGCTGGACACCCATAACTGCCGCCAAGGTGAATGCCAGAAGCCCAGGTCTAGGGGCACAAACCGTTGAAGGGATCCCACCTCAGAGTGACAGGAATGGGGCAGGACCCACTTTGGGGGCTGCCACCTTCAGGAAGCCCTCAGCAGTACCCAGACCTCTAGGGCCAGGGAAGGCAGTGAGGCTCAAGCCAGATCCTAGAAGCCACTTAAGGTTCTCCCCCAAGATAGATTCAAAGCCCCCATAGCGTTTCCAGTGCCCTCCTGTTCTAAAAGGAGGGGACTAGCCACAGGCCACCCACCTGACAGATCTGCCCAGAGGGCGCCGACGGGTGTCCTCCTCGCTGAAGGAGAAGTGGGTCAGGGATTCAGGGCCCGCAGGGGGCAATGCCAAGGCAGGAGGCCGGGGCCGGGCCCGGGAGGCTGCACTAGAGCGCATGGAAGCCAAGCGCCGTCGGGGCGCGCATGGGGACGGCTGCACAGCAGTGTGGCATGCCTTGCTCGCCAGGCCCGAGGTGTTTGTGGCCGCCGCTGGCGGCGCCGCCTCCACACCCGCCTCCACGCCCTCGGTGACCCCCCCAGGGACATCCCTGGGTGGCGGTCAGGCGCCAGGGAGGATGGGGTGGGTGCTCAGGGCTGCAAGGGCTCCATGCATGCCCCCCTGCGGGGTCTCGCGGAACCAGGCACAGCTTCCCGCCTGCCCCCCTCCCTCCTGGGCCTCAGGGGTGCCCCGGCTCGGCTCCGGTTTCCTAGCTCTCGGCCATTCACCCCAACCCCCCTCCACCACCTCCTCTGGCCCCGCCTCCCCCCTCCCTGCCCTGACGTCAAGCTGGGCCCGCTCTAGGTCTCAGATCGCAGATAGTCCCTGCGGAGTGCCCGCGGCTGGGTGACAAAAGCCCTATGAATGCGGGCAGGTGTAACTCAGAGGTGGGAGGGGAAGAGGCCAAACAGAGACGGGAGAGACGGAAGTGGAGACAGAGACAGAGACAGAGAGACCAGGAGAGAGGCACTAGCGCCCCGTCCACCCTCAGGACCCCACACAGGGCTCCCAAAGGCCCTGACCCCTCCTCCTCTTCTCCTCCTCCCCCATCTCTTCCCGGGTCCCCACCCCCCAGTACCTTCGCCCCAGCCACGCTACCAAACAAGCGCGTGGGGACAGAGGTGGGGAGAAGCCCCCAGCCCCAGCCCCTGCCTCTGCCCACCTGTGGGATGCCACCCTCAGCCTCCAGGATAAACGTGGCATTGGGAAGCCAGACCGGATGTGGCTTCCAGGCCTGTCACCCCCAGGCTTCCCGCCTCCGCAGCCCACCCGGGTCTGGCCAGAAAGGGAAATTGCATTTGCCCTTGATGCCCTTCGCACGTGGTGACACTGAGCCTCACCGCAAGGCAACACCCAGAGGACACCGCTGGCCCCATTTCACAGGCCCTTAGACTGAGGCCAACAGAACTGAACACATGTCCCCAGGACACCCTGGATGGCAGGTGGATCTCACTGCCCCAAATCGTGATGGCACCTTCAGCTTTGCACAGGAAGTGGGAGGGACATAGTATTTATTGAGCATCTACTGCATGCCCTATCAGATCTCTCCTCGGCAACCTTGGCGGGCAGGGATGATTTTTATCACTGCCATGTGACGAAAGAGGAAAAGTGAGGCTGTGAAGAGCGAGACCCCAGCGCGCGCCAGGTGGCCAGGGGAGACTCGAACCCACGGCCGCCAGCGCGTACTTACCCAGCCCAGGCCTGGCGGCCAAAATCCTGGCAGCTGCGGAGAATCCGAAGGCGCCTGTGGAAAGTTGGGGACGGGCTGGCGAAGAAGACCGGAGAGGAAGGCGGTGACCGCGGGCGGCGGGGCGCCCTCGGGGCCAAGGACTCAGGCAGGAACGTGTCGTCCTCGGCCGCCAGACGCAGCTCGGGGATTCGGCCTAGGCCGCGCGACCGCGCCATGCCCGCGGGGCGGCCCCGCCTCGGCGGGCGCTGGGGAGCTGCGCCGCCCGCCCCCGAGGCCCACGCAGGCCGGTCGCCCAGCCCCCGGGCCGCGGCCCCACCCCGCCCGGCCGCCCGGCCCTTCCGGCTTCGCTCTGGGGCCGCCCCCGGGGCGGGGCAGGCCTGGGGCGCCCACGGGGCTGAGGCCGGGACTCCCCGCAGACCCCACGGCCGCCCTGACGTCCCTCTGATGTCCCCGCAATCGCCGGAAGCGTCTCCACAAACACCAGGGATGCCCCCAAATCACGGGGGCGCCCACAGACTCCCTGCGGTCTTAAGGGGCCTGCAGACCTCAGCAGCTGCCCCCACAGTCCCTTAGACCCCGGGGAGCATCTCACTGTCCCTGAGACATGCCCACACAACCAGGGACCTCTAAAATCCCTGGCTTCCCCACACAACCCAGAGGTATTCTGGGAATCCCCAATAAACCCTAGGGCACTCCTATAGCTTCTCAAATGTCCCCAAACTCCTCGAGAGCTCCATCACCTCCCAGAGCACCCCTAGAATTCCCCACATGCCCAGAGCCATTTCTACAGACCACATGTGGGCCCCCCAAATCCTAGAGTCCTTCACAGACCCCTAAAATGCTTCCACTGTCCCTCAGATGTCCCTTAATTCCTGAGTGGCTCCTCAGTACCCCTGAGATGCCCCCACAAGTGCGGAGAATCCCAACACAATCTCAGGGGTGACTTCAGACATAGGAGATGCCCCTGTAACCACGCAGGTGCCACCAAAATCCTGGCATGTCCCATAGACCCCAGGGGCAGAGCTAGATTCCTCCACAGCTGCTGAGACTGTCCCACACGCTAGGCCAGAATTCATCATGTACCCCAAATCCTTGGGGACAACCCAGAATGCCCCCCACAGCTCCTGAGATGGCTTTAGAACTCTTAACACCCCTAGAAGCCCAAGTGTGCCCACTGCCCTTGGACACCCCTGAGATCACCCCCCAAATCCTGGCACTCTCTGGAATCCCAGAGGTACCTTTTAGAATTGGGGTGCTATAGCTCATGAGGTGGCCCCAACAACCCAACCTTCACACACAGGTAGGCACAGTAGTACAGGCAGATGGGAACTTTCTGGGGCCCCAGCAGTGGCTCTGTATGCCCGATCACTGGGACCCTATGGGGTACACATTATCCCCTTTCACAGATGAGAAAACTGAGACTTAGAGAGGTGAAGACCCTTGAACAAACTCAACCAGCTGGTTGTAATTCCAGAGCCCCCCCCCAACCTGTCTGCAGCTCTTTGGGGTTAGGGAAAAGAGAGATGCTTGTTTTAAATTTTAAAAACGGGGTGAATATCTGTTTTAGGTTCCCGTTTCTGTGAAATACCTTTCCTTCTCTGGCTGTCGAGAAGGACATGGGCCCCAGAGTCAGGTAGTCTGGACTTGAGTCTGGCTGCTGGCACTTCTTAGCCATATGATCTTGGGCTAGTTGCTTCATTTCCCCGAGCCTCAGTTTCCCAGGCTGTAAAATGGGTATGCTACTACTATACATCCCATGGATGGACACGTGAAAGGCTCAGAACAGTGGCTGCACATAGTAGGCACTCACTAAATATTAGCTATGGTTATTATCATTATTTGACAAAACATTTGTTGAGGACTTATAATATGCAAGTCACCATACTGGCCAGAGGATACAGATGAAGATGATTTATGATGATGAGGACAGCTTTAGAATGCTTTCTGTGCATGTAGTGCCTCCAGCTACGATCTCATTTAATCCTCACAAAACACCCACGAGGTGATCCTATTGTCTCCATTTCACAGATGGGAAAACTGAGTCTTGCAGAGAAACAACCTGCTCAAGGTCACACGACCAGTGTGTGGGTGAACCAGGCTGTAAACCAATGCTTGTCACCCTTTATTTCATTCTTGACCCCCTATGGAATGGCCTTTGTAGACATTTTTCCCCCGATCTCCTCCCCCATAAAATGTTAACGTCTGTTTAGGGACTGTGACTACATCTGCGCCTTTTACTTAAAAGTAAGATGTTTTTTCCATTTTCCTTCCCCAGCAAGAACCAAATTTCACCCCCTTTGAGCCCTACATTCTCACCTCACTGAGAATGTAGGGCTTCTCAGCCTTGGCACTATTGACATTTAAGGTTGGGACAATCTTTTGCCCCGGGTGATATCCCCAGACACCCATTCCTCCAAAGTATCAGACATGCTTCTACCACAGGACCTTTGCACTGCGTGTTCCCCCTGGTTGGTGTCCTCTTCCAACAGACACCCTCCTAGCATCCTCTCTCACTTTATTTAGGTCTCTGTTCAAATGACACCTCCTCCAAGAGGCTTTCCCTGACCTCAGGGTCCCTCTTTTCTTCAGGTCTCATGTGTCGCCATCTGGCATTGCCTGTATAGCTTTACTGGCTTCGTTTGTGACCCAGTCCCTAGCTTGGGAACTCGGGGAGAGACATGGACTGGAACTCTGGCTTTAAGCCACAGCCCCAAAGATGGTCAATGTTTGTGGAATGAATAGCGCTGCTACAGCCCAGGACACGAAGGCGGGAGGTGACAGCTGAAGATCACACAGCAAGTGAAGGGCAGAGGCTGGATTTGCACAGACGTGAAAACAGTGGGCTCAGAAGCCCCCCCCCCCAAAAAAAAAACTCTGGTCCTCACCCCGCCAGGCAGTGGACAACTCATAGAAGCTCGCAGGCAATCTGTCCCCAGTGGAAGATGGGGCACTCACTCTCCCAGCCGTCGGGTTTGCGGTTTGGGGGGACGCCCCCTTTCGCTCTGCTGATGTCATTTGAGGAAGTGTTTTCTCCAAACACCAGCTCCTGGCGGCCCAGCACCTACGTCAGCCGGCTCAGCCTCACCACAGGCCTGGGGGTGGGCAGTTCTTAGTTTTCAACCCCAGTTTGATTTGTGAGGAAACTGAGGCACAGGGGAATGTCGTCGCTGGCTCCAAGTCACGCAGCGAGTCAGCGGAGAGGGCTGGAACGTGAATCCTACCTACTGGTCCCCAGGGGAGGAGACCTGGTTTTTAGCCTCAGTTCTTCCCTTCCTCGCTGCGTGACCTTGGGCGAGCCCCGCGGTCTCTGTTTCCCGGGCAGGAGTGCAGAGCCGAGGATGCCGGGAGTCGAAACGCAGGGGTGTCGGGGGGGGGGGGCCCTGGCATCTCCGCGCGGAGGCGGGACGGGGACTCCGCGGCGGCAACTTCTCGGCCGAGTTCCCGTCGCTCCGCCAGGCGGCAGCCTCCGCCGCGCCCGGCTGGGGGCGGGCGACCCGGGGCCGCGGCTGGTGCGGACCCCGCGAGGCGAGGCCCCCGCTCGCACACCGCGGCCGGCCGGCCCGGCGCCCGCCCTCCGGCACGCTCGATACGTACGAAATAATAATAAGACTAACACGGGCGCCGCGACAGTGGCGGCGGCGGCGACTTCGCTGTGCTCGAGGACCCGCGTCCCGGAGGCAGGCCCGCGCTCGGAGCGCACACCCGGGCTGTGCCCTTCTTGGCGCCCGGCAGGGGGCGCGCGGAAGGAGGGGCGCGAGGAGAGACCGGCTCTCGACGCCCGCCCGGGGACGTGGCAGTGCCAGGGACCAGGCGAGGCGGAGGACCCAGGTGGAGGCGGAGATCGCAGGCCAGAGACCCCAGCCTGGCTGCCTCCGCCTCTACCCGGGGCCGCGCCGCGCCACACTCGGTGGGGAGAGCTGGGGGGCTCAGGGTGGGGGCAGGTCGCTACGTCGGCCCCGCCCCCAATGCAGGCACCCCACCCCCACCCCCAGCCTGAGTCCTCCTCTTCCTCCCTCTCCATCTGCCTCTTGACAGATCGTGGCGGTGCCGTGACTCAGCCGCCTCGTACATCTCCCCAGGTCCGGAGGGGAGGTTTGGATGCCAAGCGGGGGTGGGGTGGGGGCGGGGGCGGAGAGCCCTCCCTTTGGGAATTCCTCTGACTCAAACCGGGAGGGCTCGCTGGCCCCCCTTTCTGGTGGCCGGTGGGCCGCGCTGGAACCCCCTGCGCACGCACAGGTAGAACCTGCTTTCTGGAGAAACGCCCGTCTTCAGGAAAGACCTTCCCGTCGGAGGTCTTGCTCTTTCTGCCTAGGGGACCAGGGAAGGACCCTGGCACCAATGCCAGCCCACAGCGCACCCCTCGGTCCCAGCCGTGGACATTGGCACGGACAGCGGGGGTTACGCAGGCCCACAGGGAAACACAGACCTGGGTCCATGTGGGGATATGATTGAGGTTCCTGTATTTTCTTCCCACTGGGGAGAAGTAGGGTCTGCCCAGGCCCCAACTCCCACCTGAATCTATGTCCCTGAGCGAAATCTACTAAGCACTCACTGTGTTAAGTCCTTTCCATACGTCCCCAAGCTCACAGAACTCTCGAACTGACCCCCCCCCCAGGGCAGTGCCAACAACAGCCCCACTTTACAGATGGGAGAATCGAGGCTCAGAGATAGTAAGACACTTATACAAAGACACACAGGCCCAGGCCCAGTGGCTCATGCCTGTAATCCTAGCACTCTGGGAGGTGGAGGGCCAGGATTGCTTGAGTTCAGGAGTTCGAGATCAGCCTGAGCAAGAACGAGACCCCACCTCTACTAAAAATAGAAAAATTAGCCGGGCATAGTGTCATGTGCCTATAGTCCCAGCTACTCAGGTGGCTGAGACAGGAGGATGGCTTGAACCCAGGAGTTTGAGGTTGCAGTGAATTATGAAGATGCCACTGCACTCTAGCCAGGCAACAGAGCAAGACCCTACCTCAGAAAAGGAAAAAAAAAAAAAAGACACACAGTCATCAGGCAGACCTGGGTTCAAATCTCAGCTCTGCCATTTCCTGGTTGTGTGAGCTTAGGCGAAAAGGAGAAGGTGTTTTGCCTTTGGGCCTCAGTTTCCCCATCTGTCCAACAGGAATAGCTCACGGAGTATGTATGGGAAAGTCCCCGGCATGGAGCCTACAGATGAGACACTGCTAAATGGATTCTGCTAAAATAATGATGATTATTACCACTCAGCCACTGTCCCCTGAGAGGCAGCACCCCGGAGACCAGGGGCCCCTGGAGCCTTAAAAGGGAATGTAGCCCAGATGCTACTGCCCCCCCCTTGGTCTCTCAGGACAGTGACCTGACTCAGTTTGGCCTGCTGCCCTGGTCTTGGCATTTCCTGTTGATTCCAGCTTTGCTTTCCTCCAGCGTCTACGCAGTTCCCTTTGGGAAACATGAGGCCGCATGTGCTGGGCCCTCGACACTCGCTTGCTTGGTGGAGGCAAGCGTGCTGGGGCTGGGGGTGCTGGGGACAGAGGTTGGGGTGGCCTGAGGGGCTGTGATGGCCGCTGCAGAGCCCCAGAGAGAACTAGGAAGAGTAGAGTCACGCCCCAGAAGGGCCTCACTTGGAAACTTCAGGGATGAGAAGCCCATATCTGACCATCTTTGGTAATGTCCCAAGCAGTGAGGCACCCATGGGTGCCAGTCACACACGTCGCTGGAGCACACACTGTCAGACCCCGGAGCACCGTCAAAGCAGGTACGATAACTAAGAATGCCAGGTGGCTGGGGACACCAGGCCGACCGGGACACAGCCCCCCAGCCAGAGCACTGACTCGCAGATGTGAGCTCGTAAGGCAGGGGAAAGCATGGTCACAGCGTCCCAATCACAGTGTCCCAGGGAGCATGGAAAGTTCCGAGGACACAGTCACTTTGTCCCTGGGAAGGTACATATCACAGTTCCACAATCATGCACACTGTCACAATCCCCGTGTCCCCGGAGCACAGACACCATCCCACGATCACTGTCCTGGGAACAGACACAGTCGCTCTGCCACAATAACTAAGCCCCATGAGGACACACAGTCACCCTGTGACAGTCACAGCATCCCTGGGGGCACACATAGTCACTGTCACAACCACTGTCCCAGGAACAGACACAGTCACCCTGTGCAAAATCACTGTGGCCTAGAGCACACAGTCGTAGTCACCACCACACTATCCTGGAGGCACACAGCCACGCTGTGACAATCACACTGTCACACTGTCCCTGGAACACACACAGTCACTGTGTCACAATCACAGGATGCCAGAGGCCCAGGCAGGGCATACAGCTGAGGTAGCCACAGCTGTTCACACCCCGACAGTTGGAGGGTAGCGCCAGGGCAACACACGCACCCTTACTACATTGTCACCTTACTACATTGTCACCTCGCCAGAGCCAGGGACTCCTTCCTTCGCCCTATTCTGGGACCCGGTGCCCCTCTGCACTATCCCCTGCCTCTGGGCAGCTACTAGACCCTAACACTCCTGTCCCGACAAGGGGACTCCGACTCCATGCACAGGCTCCCAACACAGTGCTCCCCCAAGAGGCCCCTCTGGATTTCGGACCCCAGCTGCTGAACAGCCAGTCCATGAATGCCCCCCCCCAGGAGGACCCTGAAAGCCCCCAGCCTGGAGTAAAGATTGTCGTCCTAGAAGGCATCCGAAACAGAGTACCGCAAAGGGTACCCCAAACACAGCGAGTCTACCCTCAGGACAATGCCCCCAGGAAAGTCCCTCCAAATGGTACCCAGAGTAGCTGCTGTGCTTGCTGCACTGTCACCGACTAAGAATATAGCCCCCTAAAGCTGCGGCCCCTTTCCCCAGACCCCACTAGTACCACACGCAGCGTGGCGCCCCCTACGTGGACTCCAGGACCGGTTGCAGTAGGAAGCCTCCTGTGCAGTGCACAACAGGGGCCAGGTCCCGGACGCCCCCGCACAACTACCCCCTTCGCCCCAGCCCCCGCCAGTCACTTTGACCCCACCCGCATCATAGCGCCCCCTGCGGTCGGCGGGTCGAGCTGCGTCCTCTCTGCGCGCCTATCTGCTCCGCGCGCATCCGCGGCCGGGACTCTTACCGCCTGCAGCTGCCTCCGCCCGCGCCGCCGCTGCCGGTGCCGGTGCCGTGGAAGGACGAGGGCCAGGACATGCGGGTCGTGCGCAGGCCGGGCCGGTCGCTGGTATCCACGGCGTCGGCGCGCTCTATGTGCCGGTGCGGCGACCGCTCTGGCTCGGCGCGCTCCGCGCTGTCGGAGTAGCCGCGCTGCTGGATACGGATGGGGGTCCGAGGCTGCCGCCACAGGTGCTGGGGGGGTGGCTTCAGGGTGGCCTGGCCCTCCCGGGGCCCGGGCAGAGACAGAGACAGGCTCCTTTCCGAGGGGGCGGCCGGGGGCTCCATGGCGCCGGCCCCCAGCTGCGCCCTGGGGGGCCCCGGCCTCTGCAAGCTGCACCTTGCTCAGCTGCGCACCAGCCGACGAGCCCAGGGCCCCGCGGGTGCGCCCGGCCGCGGTAGGGCCATGGCGCCCCGGGGGCACTGTGGGCCAATCGCCCCCGGGCCGGGCGCCGCGGCTTCCTGTCGGCGCCTGGCGCTCTGCTCCGTGCCGGGCTGCGCTCTCCGCGCTCGGCGCCCCGCTCGGCGCCAGCCCCGGCTCCCCCGCCCCGTCCCGCCCCTCCCCACCCCCCGCCCGCCGCGGCTGTCAGCGCCGCCCCCCTCCTCCTCCGTCCGGGCCAGTGGGGGGCAGCCACCTAAGGAGGGGGCCCTCTCCGCCCACGCAGAGCCCCGCTCCGGGCGGGGAGGGGGCGCCGGAACTCGGCTCTCTGTAGGGCACCCAGCCTAGCCGCGGCGCCCACGGGCACAAAGGAGTTAAACGGTTAATCCGATCGGGGAGAAGACACCCGACTGGTTGCCGGAGTGTCAGTCAGTCGGTCCATCATGGCGGGGGCGGAGCCGGTCACTGGCGTGTCCTCGCTGCTACCCCTGGCCAGAGGGAGCTTTTGGGGAGTGGTCCGGGTGCCACCAGCGCGGTGCCTACAGCCGGCAGCGGCGGAGTGTTTGTGATCTCCTGTCTGTGGGGCGCAGGACGGTGATGGTGCGTGGCCGAGGCGAGATGTGCGCGCACGTGGCCTCTTCCGAGGGTTGTCTGTTTTCAGTGTCGGCTGGAAGTGTGTGTGTGCACGTGGTTGGCTGCTGCTGTCTGCCTGTTTCTCAGGTTTGGCTGTGTGTGTATCGCTGTGTGTCTGTGGGTGAAGGATGTGCGCGCACGTGTGCCGCCTGTTTGGAGGGTGTGCGTCCCCACGGGTATGTTCCGGGAGCCCGGGGGCTGTGGGTATGCTCCCAAGCGCTTGGGTGTGTGTGAGGTCGCTGCTTGCTCCAGGAGTCGTGCATGAGATTCTGTCTCTGTCGCCTGACTATGGTATCTGAGGACATCTATGTGCGCTAGGGTGTGTGTGTGTGTGTGTGGTCGGCCTGGGGCCTCTTTGGAGTGTTTCTGGGGTGTGTCCCTTTGGTTCCCTTGTGGCTCCGGGAGGACACCCTGTGGCCAATACCCGGTTGCCCGCCCACTGCTTTCTGTATCGCGGCCTCTTCTAAAGCATTTCTGCGGGAGGTAAACTGAGGCGGGTCCCGGGAACCACGGGGCGCACCCCCGTGCCCTTTTCAGGAGAGTAAACAGCCAAGCCTCCTCCCCGCGGCCCCCGCCGGCAGAGCCCCCCTTCCGGCACCTAAATCGGGAGTCGCCGTGACTCACGCTCCCGCCTCCCCCAGCGCCGCGCCGAGCAAGCGAGCTGAGAGCGAGCGAGAACCGAGCGCGCCCCCATCCCCCCTCCCGGGTCCGGCCAAGCTCGAGCGGTTGCTGGAGGGGGGGAGCTCGCGCGCCCCCGTGCCTCACCCCCCACGCCGATAAGGGCTCAGAAGCAAAACTGCTCTAGTGCACGTCCCCTGGGGACAAGGCCGCCGCCCCCGTGCGCCCCCTCTCACGGGCTCCCCAGGGCAGGCCGTGCCGTCTGCCACCGCCCTCCCTGCACGCTGTTCTCCTTGTAAAAAAAACTGCCCGTCTCCAGCCCCCACAGCTACACTTCTCCCTGCCGGAGGGGCTCCGGGCGTGGGCGAACACAGCAAGAACTGGCACCCCCCCATCAGCAGCCGCGGGGTATCCCAGAGGCCAGAACCGTGTCCCCCACTTCACTCAGGAACACCCCGCAAGTGCGCACTCAAAACCGCTTCTAGGGGATTTGCAAGGGCTGTGGGTTCTTTCCAGATCGTTTGGGGTCCTGAGCTAGTCCAAATTCTTGGATGGTGGGAGGCGGCTGTAACGTAGGTCAGAGAGCTGGATGGGGGATGGGTAACACGGGGAGGGGGGCAGGGGCGGTGTCAGGCCGCAGCTGGGGTTGCAGGAGGAGGGCACAAGGCAGTGGCCCATAGCTGGTAATTGGAGCTGTGGCCTGATCTAGCTGGACTCGAACCAGAGGCTAGTGGGACGGTGGGGAGAGGGTGGTACAATTTAGGCGGCCCCAGGGGGCAGTGACAGTCACTTCCTCCCCCCATCTGGACATGAGCCATTGTACCATTACCGGAGCAGAGAACCTGGCGCCCTCCAATTGAGTAGATGGGGAGGGGGGGTTGGTTGGGGTTGCAGAGAGCGGTGACCAGGCGAGGACATGAGGGCAGTGGCCGGCCAGCCGCCAGGACCAGCTCAGCGGTCTGGCTTTCCGGCTCATGCTTGGGCCAAGAGCGGGGGCTGGGTGCCCTCGGAGGACCCCAGATGAGAAACTGCAAGAAAGTGCAATGGGAAGCTGGGGCTTCCAGATATTTCTCACATCCCCCGAGGAGAAAGAAAAATGCCACTCCAGACCTCCAGGACTCCACCATGCCCTTTAAGGCGCACAAGAAACCGAATCCTCCCAGCAGGGGACACCGGGGCAGGTGCACAGCAGACTGGCCAGCCTGTCGCAGCTCTGCGAATATGGGGCTATCTTGGGGGCTGGAGAGATGGGGGCTGTCTTGGGGGCTGACTCAGGCAGCTGGAAAGGGAAGAAGGGGTTCGCAGACGCTGCAAAGGGCGCCTTAGGGGAGGGGTATCGGGTATCGCAGCCTGACCGGCAGGCTACAGAAGTTTCAGTTAGCTTTGCAAACCGCAGAGAGCTTGGAGATCCTGGAGGGCTGGTGGCTGGACCTCGCCCAGCAGGCCCTGTGCCTCCGCCCCACGCCCCCTCCCTGGTCCCCCTCCTGCCTACCTGTCGGCCTCCGCCCTGGTGATGGAAATCCGCGGCGGGATCAGCAGCGGCAGCGTGGTGGGCCGTGGCGGCGGAGGGACCCCAGCGTCTGAGGGCTCAGGAGGGGCCCAGCCCAGGCCGGGACCGGACGAGAGGCGACGGCGAGGGCGACGGAGGTCGGCCCCCAGCATGTTGGCGCGGCCGGGCTCGGGGGTCTCCCGCGGCCTCTGAGGAGGGACAAGGTGGGATGGGGGCGTGGCCTGGCAGGGGAGCTCCGGCCCCTGCCCCCCAGGAACACCCATCCCAAGCCACCTGAGGGAGTGGCTGATGGGGGTATAGGCTCCCTGTGTCCCCCTCACATCTGAGCCACTCCTGACCCCTCCCACCCCTTAGGTCTGAGGGTGCACCTTCTCAGCAATAATTTTTGTGGGGTTCCCTCTTGATGTCCCAACCCTGGGCTCTGGGCCCTCATGTGTCTACATTCTCTCTCCCGTGTGAGAGCCCTGTAACACATCACCTTTTGAGGGTCTCTTCCCACCCCCCGCGTCTAAGAGGCCCACACTTGGCCTAGATGTCAATGGCCCCTCCTGCCCCTCACCCCCCAAATCCTCAAGACCCCAGCGCTCCAATCCCACTTCCTCGCCAAAATTCTCTCCCCATTTGGGAATGCTCTGCCCTCTGGCCCTGGGGCTGAGAGCCTCTTAATCTGGGCAACAGGAGAAAAAAATGGAATCAAGGGAGTAAACTGAGGCACGAGGAAACTCAGGGCCTCGAGGTAGTGGAACCACGCTCAGTAAAGAGCTGTGGTCACCAGAGGGTGCCCGTCTCCCTGGCGGCCTAAGCCCCGCCCCCAGCCCAGGCCCCGCCCCTCGCACCTCGTCCCTGGTCCCCGCCACGGACAGGGCACTGCGACTCCTCTTCATCCTGCCAACCTAACGCGCCACCGGGGCTGCGTGGGCCATGCCGGCCAGGCCGGGGCCTCCTGCGGGACCAAGCGGAAGGCATCTGCCATTAGCGCTCCGGGGCTCCCCCTGCCGGCGGGGCTTGGAATCCGCTCCCGCCCCTTTCCTATTGCCTCTCCTGGGGCGTGACGCCAGCGGGCAGCTGACGCACTGCCGATTGGTGACGTCGCCCGGCCGTTGCCAAGGAGACAGCTGACGCACGGTGGGATTCTGGACGCGTCAATGCCCGGGTTGGCCACTGGGGGGCCGGGAGCCTCCGGGCCCGGGTCGCCCCAGCCCCCACCCGTCTTCCCGCGGGGGCTTCCCCGGCGTGGGGATCCCGCAGAGAAGACTGGGAGCTCCCCGGAGCTGGCCGCGTGTGGCGCGTGGTCAGAGCCGGGGGCCGGAGGAAGCGGCTCCTCCGAGCTGTTGGGCTTTTATGCCTGAACCCGAAATAGCTCTGATGTGCGGGGGCCGGGCGCAGAGAGACGGCGGCTTGGGCACAGATGGGGGACGCACAGGCAGAGGCGCGCGGAGACAGACAGGGACGTGTGGAAATAGAAACAGACAGACAGGGACACAGACTCCGCTCCCGGTGATGGGTGCGTTCTGCTGCAGCCGATCCTTGTCTAAAAGCCTGGGGGAGGGAGAGGCTGGCTTGCTTCACCTTTGCACCCAGGCGCTAAAGAGTATTACTGTGTGGCCATGGGTCTGTGACTTAAATTCTCTGAGCCTCAGTTTCTCCTCTGTGAAATGGGATGATAATCCCTATGAGATCCGTGTGAGAATGAAATGAGATCGAGCTATATTGAACAGAACAGTGTCAGGCACTCAGTAAGTGCTTAATAAATGCTACTAACATCCGAGCCCGTGGGAGCCTGTTAGAACCCAAGTCAGATCCTGTCCCTCCTCTGATTAGAACCCTCTCCCTTCATTCAGAGGAAAAGTCAAAATTTTCAACGCGTGGCTCACGCAATCCTGTGGGATGTGCCCAGTCACCTCCCTGCCCTGGGCCCCAGCCACACTGTTCTCCCTGGCTATCTCTGGACACACCACACATGCTGCAGTCTCAGGGCCTTTGCACTTGCTGTTTGTCCACCTGGAACTCTCTTCCCCCAAATATCCGCAGGTCCCTCAACTCCTGCAGATCTTTGCTTACAATTCACCCTTTCGGGAATTTCTCCCCTTCTCACCCCACCCCAATTTAAAACTACAAACCTCCAGGACTCCAGAGTGCCCCACTCCCCTTAACCAGCTCTGGGTTTCCACAGCATTTATCTCCTCATACCATTTTACGTGATTTGTTTATTACATTTATTGTGTCTCTCTTCACACTAACATATCCTATCTTGCAGGAGGGCAAGAATATTTTTTCTATTTTATTCATTCCCCAGTGCCCAGAAGAGAGACTGCAAGATAGTAGGCTCTTAATAAGCCTTTGTTGAATGTCTGGTTATGATTTTTGAGGACCCAAGAGCATATTTATAATGTGC